ATATATATGGACTACTCTAGATATTGTTGAGCTATCTAGGATGTATTTACGTATCGGGTTTCTGATTGGATCGTAGTAGCATGTGGGCCTGACTCACTCCTTTATTTTTCAGGTGTAGTCAGTTCCAGGGCTAGAGCTTGGACGTGCAGAGCAAATACAGACACTCACTCCTTCGATAATGTAGGATTTCATTTTATGTTCTAGATTAGGATTTTATCTTCAGTTGATTATTTCAGTTTGGATTTTAGGGGTCCACTAGATGGATTCCCGAGTTGTATCTATTTTGGAGATTTAGATTTTTATTAATCTTTATCTTTTGGAGGATTTTAAATTTAGTATTCTTTTCAGCTTTAATATTTATTTCGTAAATCTATTTTGTAATCTGTGTTCGTTTATGTATTAATTGTTTGGTATCCCTCGGATCTGTGCTCGAACTTGATCACCCGTGATTCTAGAATCGAGGGGTATCACACCATTAGTCATTCATACCGACAAATAATAAAATCTCAATATTCAAATTGCTAAGTTAACTTATTCATATTGTTAAAATATTAACAGAGGGTGAGTAGAGGGTCAGTTTTGACGTAATGGTAAAGTTGCTCATTTATGACCTAAAAGATCACGGCTTTAAATAAAAGAAACATTTCCCAAACCTCAAAAGGGCTGGAGCCTCGGACGCAATCCTTTTTAGTTAAATCTCAATAGGCAGTCTAGCTTAACCATATATAGAGAAATTATTAGATGGTCTTGGACCAATGACACTTAATGCACTAGTTATATCTAGACTATCGGATTGAGAAAATAGCCCACAAGAGTGTATCAATATATTACAGAAAAATCTCAATATTAGCTTTTATTGGATTAGTTCACTAAATGTTAAATGGATTAAAACCATCTAATAATTTCTCTCTCATATGTATATATATATATATGATAATCGAAATAGCTGGGGCTTTGTTCCTATTAATCTACGACCTCGTGCAAAGCAACCGAGACACAGATAAGGTAAAGTTGTAGTCCAACCCTTACATGAAATCCTAATTTATACTCAAATGGGTGATGATACTAGCCAGTAGCCACGTAGTTAAATGTCAATACTTAAATGGGTAATCCTAGCCATATAGTTAAATTTCAATTAGTAATAAAAATTGGCAGTCCTAGCCATTTACATAGTTGAATATCAATAGTCAAATGTTTATGTTAATTCTGTACAGAATAAGCATCACTAACCGAAGGATTGGTGCAGGAAATATTCATGGCCGGCTCAGAAACGACTAGCAGCACCACAGAATGGGCAATGACCGAGCTCCTATGCAATCCCAAATCAATGATGAAGGAAAAAGATGAGCTTGCTAAGGTTGTTGGACCAAACATGAAATTCGAAGAGAGTGATACTGATAAAATGCCATATTTGCAAACTGTGGTGAAGGAAACACTGCGTTTACACTCTCCGATCCCATTTCTAGTAAATCAAAAGGCGATTCAGGATACTAACTTCATGGGGTATCACATTCCCAAAAACACACAAGTGTTTGTGAATGCTTGGGCCATTGGAATAGACGAGGAATGTTGGGATGACCCTTTCTAGCTCATTCAAGCCCGAGAGGTTCTTGGGATCGAAAGTCGAGTACAAGGGGCAACATTTTTAGTTGATACCGTTTGGTGCTGGGCGAAGGATGTGTGCAGGTGTTCCGTTAGCTCATCGCATGTTGCACCTTGTTTTGGGCTCGTTGCTTCATGAATTCGATTGGGAGCTTGATGGTCATGTCACTCCTGAGACCATATACATGAAGGACAGGATGGGAGTGACAGAGAGAAAATTCGAACCATTAAAAGCAGTACCAAGAAAGCGTAGGTGGAATAATGAAATGATTTAATGATTTTAAAGCGGAATACTTTGAACAAAATAGAGAGTCAAAGATTTCACATCCCTTAGATACACTTAACTAGGAGTAATGTAGAACCTAGTTGACTGTATTCACCGAATGGAGAGTATTTTGACTCTGTATTTCTTTCAAACTCTTCGACCTTAATAGCGTTTCTGGATGACATTAGTGATCATAAAGAGGTTTTAGTTTGCTTGGAAGTCTGTCTTCTTCTTTTTTCTTAGAAGGCGCAGATATTATGCTCTTGAGGCAAGCCTTGCTGTCTGCTCTGCGAGTGCATTAGTGCTTTTCTCTTAATTTCTATTTTTGTTGGATTTATTTGTTTAAAAGCATATGTATAAGATTGTATGTAAAAAATCAGGACATGTCTGATGCTATGAAACAGTACTGCTCCATGTTTTACAAAGTACGGATAAAAGGATGGAATAGAATTATACGTACAATGATTGTTAATTTGAGGATAAACAAATGCTTTATTTGATGCTTTCTTATTTTGATATATGTTTATGCAGTCTACTATATCAAGACACTAGGCAATTTAATTACAATCAAATTCTTTTGAATAGAGGGGAAAAAACCTCTATCATTGTTGTTGCGAGTCTCCTATATATTTTCATCTAAGATCATCAGTTTGGCTTGCTTATTTTATAAATTCTAAAAAAACATAATTTTGAGTTGAATAATAATAATAATAGGCCTAACATTTTTGTAGAATTATTCGGTACAAATATCACACTCTTTTAAATTATGATAAAAAAAAATAATAATAATAATAGAAGCCACACAAACACCCCACATCCCATATCGTGTTCCCTCAACTCTGTCGGTATCAATCCTATACCTCCTCAACTCTAGACGTAGCGATTCATATTCTTATTATTAATTTTATTTTTTGAACCTTAAAAGCAAAGTTATAAAGAAAACAAATATTTACAGGGGTGGGCCTTTACGAGAAGGCCCAAACCTGTTAACAACAAGAAGCCCATCACTGCCTCACTTCTAAGGTCCAACACTCTAACCCACAAAACAACAGCCTTGGAGGCCCAAAACATAAATCGTTAAGCTGATGGAGGATGTTCTGAATCTGCAGTGCAATTCAGAGCATCCAACCTCTGTTGGTTAGAATTTTCCTCTGTAATGGAGAAAAAAGTCAAGGGAAGATCCCAATCCGTGAAGACACTAATTGGTTGAACTTCATTAAATTGTTAAATATTTTAAAATTTTGTTGGCAACTCTAAAACCATGTGCTTTTTCATCATTATTGTAAATTGATACTGATTTCAAATTAGAGTAAAGGATATAGATAGTATTTTAATAGGATAACATTGGAGGAATTCATAAGGGCAATATTGGTAAAGAAAATTTGTTAATAGAATTGTGAAGTTAAAAATTTTGCTAAAAGTAATACTTTATGATTAACTAATAAATTTCTCTATATATATTTGTTCTTACTCGAGATGAAAGTTATTATATATCCTTTCTTTTTCTTTTTAATAACAACAGTGTATTTTTTTTTTCACTTTGATTCCTTCTGTTAGTAACTTGCAGTCAAATCGGTGGATTGCTCCCAACTGATCATTGTTACTTTTTCGCCAAGCCACTGAGACTATAAAATATTTAAAATTATTGTTTCTATTACTACGTCAAACTGTAAATTATTTTAAAAAATAAGCAATCTTTATTACATTATAAAGGTTACAGCTTAGTAATACTTCTCATCTCTTTTACATTATAAAGGTTTGAGTTTAGTGGTACTTTCTCATTTTTCAAAACAAACTACCAATGCAACTGTCTTGCATTTTTAGTTGGTCCGAATTTCTAAAATTACACACTAATTAATTAAATGTCTTCTACTATTATGGGACATTTAAAATATAAATTGATACGACAAAAGTAAACTTTTAATTATTTCTTCTCTCTCCTCACTCGGATGGCATGTGTATATATGCAATTGTTGAGTTACGAGTTATTTAGTATATAAACACCTAAATTCTTCTATTTATATATATATACACTCCGTATATAGTTAAAAGACAATTAAAAAGAAAAAGAAAAAGAAAAGAGAGAATGTTATTGATATATAAATACACGTGTTTACACTTTACATATGTATATAGATCGAAGAAATAATTAAAAGGAAACTTAAAGAAATAATTAAAAAGGCACTTTTGCCTTATAAATTTATATTTTAAATATTTCATAATGGTAGAAGACATTCAATTAACTAGCGTGTAATTTTAAGAATCTTAACTGTGCAAGCACGCACAGCCTACACTCTCCTCCTCAATTTATAATTTATTTGATGTATAAAAGATTTTCACTGAAAACCCTAATTTGCTAAAGGCAACACCAAAATAAGAGATCCTACAAGGGCAATGAGACTATCTTAAGAAGAGAAACATACAATTGATGACAAAATAGTAGAACGTGCATTTGAATGGTATCTATTGACATGTACAACAAAGTAGAAAAGTGCATTTAAATTATCAAATCCTTTTGCACATCATCTACTCCTCAATGTCTCATATGATTCATACCCTGAAGCACAATACAAATATCTCTTCCAACAATTACCGAAAAAAGGAAGGAGAAATGCCCCACCAAACATTAAATATAACCTAATAATGTATATGCATAATGCATTGATAAAAAGTATTCAAAGATATGATACAAGATAGGAAAATTTATTAAGGGTTGTGCTGCTTGCATTATTATTTTTTTTCTTTAATGAAAGTTGAGCACGCGATGCGTGTGCACAACTATATATATGATATTAGGTGATCTAAGAGCAGTAGTTTCGTTTAAAAATTGAATTATAAAAAATTATCCTATGCCCCCTCGTGAGATCTCAAGGAAGCAAACTGGTGGTGAAGATTTAAACAGGGATTTTTTCAGAGTTTAGAATTTGCTCAGAATGGCAGAAGTAGGGTCATGGCTGACACGGGGAAACCAATTATTGTATAATTAAATATTTATATTAAAGTTTAACCATAAGTTTTAATCATATTTATGTCCCCAAGTCATGTCAAAATGATTGGAAGTAATCTATTATATATATCCAACAAGTAATGTGTTACCATATAGTGAACTAAGTAGAGAACTCAAAACTAAAAAATGGAGTGGACTTCAGGTTCGCTTACTGCTTCTTTAGCAGGTGTTCTTTTACTGCTGCTCGTCTGGTTAAAGGCCAGGAATGGCTCTACCAAACTGCGACCACCAGGGCCACCAGGGTGGCCATTGGTTGGCAACATGTTCGACCTTGGAGACCTGCCGCACCAGACATTGTACAAGTACCGGAAAAAGTATGGACCCGTGGTTTGGCTGCAGCTTGGGGCGGTGAACACAATGGTTGTACAGTCGCCCTCAGCTGCTGCCGAACTTTTCAAGAAGCACGATGTTCCTTTCGCTGACCGCAAAGTACCTGATGCACTAACAGCCTTCAACTTCAATGAAGGATCATTGGGTATGAATACTTTTGGCGGCCACTGGCGTGTACTGAGACGACTGTGTTCCATGGAGTTCCTAGTCAACAAACGAATGAACGAGACAACTGACCTCCGACGGAGGTGCACTGACAACATGATCCGATGGATTGAGGAAGATGCAGCAGCTTCACAAGCACAGGGAGGATCAGGCGCTGTGCAGCTGAGCCGCTTCCTCTTCCTCATGGCTTTTAACCTGGTTGGCAACCTCATGCTGTCACGAGATCTCTTGGACGCATCATCCAAGGATGGGAGCGAGTTCTTTGACTGCATGAACAAGATCTTGGAGTTGGCTGGGACGCCTAACGTGGCAGACTTCCTGCCCTTCTTGAAATGGGTGGACCCACTGGGGATCAAGAGGACTATGGTAAGTAACATGACGAGAACCATGAGGATCGCATCCAGCTTTGTGAATGAGAGGCTTCAAGACAAGAAGAAGGGTAAAGAGGGGGTGAAGAAAGACTTCCTGGATGTGCTGCTAGAGTATGAAGGTGATGGAAAAGACGGACCTGATAGGATTACAGAGAAGAATGTGAACATTGTCATAATGGTAATCCCATCTCTACCACTAATTTGGTGTCTATGTGCCTAAACTTCTGTGTATATATACACATATATAAATACATTATACACATGTCCATATACACACACACACATGCGCGCATGTATTGCTTGTAAATTTTGCAAAAACGTCAAAATTAGTAGTTCATTGTGAGAGTAATGAATGCACTAATGGTGCAGGAAATGTTCTTTGCTGGCTCAGAAACTACAAGCATCAGCATTGAATGGGGTTTTGCAGAGCTACTACGCCACCCTGACAAACTGAAAAGGGCTAGGGAAGAGATTGACAGAGTTGTTGGACTAAATAGGAAAGTAGAAGAGAGCGACATGGATAACCTGCCATATATGCAAGCTGTGGTGAAGGAAGCACTCCGATTACACCCCGCACTTCCTCTACTCCTCCCACGGAACACCATGGAAGATACTGAATACATGGGGTATCTCATTCCCAAAAGTACACAAGTTTTTGTGAATGCTTGGGCAATTGGAAGGGATCCAGATTCTTGGGACGATCCTTTATCCTTCAAGCCTGAGAGATTTCTAGACTCAAGCATTGAATATAAGGGGCAGCATTTTGAGCTGATTCCATTTGGATCTGGGAGACGTATTTGTGTAGGCTTTCCTTTGGCTCATCGAGTGGTTCACCTTGCTCTGGCCACCCTAGTACAGACTTTTGACTGGGAGTTCAGTGGCGGTGTCACTCCAGAGACTATGGACATGCAAGAGAGGCTAGGACTAACACTGCGGAAGCTTGTACCCGTGAAAGTAATTCCCAAAAGGCGAATCATGAAAGGATGAAATGATCATTGATGATGGAAACTTGCTCAATTTGGTCATCCAATGATAATATAAATAAATAAGTTTCCCTGCTCTCTAACAACTTGAACTTTAGAGTGATTGGTTGTTAGTAGATGGAAAGATATGCGCATTATGTACTCCTTTATATTCTACGTAGATGATATAAGTATTTAAGTGTTGTATGGTATTGTTTCGGTTCATCATTGTAATATGTTTAATTCTACCTTGTATTCTGGAAGGAAAAAAAAAAAAAAAGTAAAAAGAAACTCCGTTTCTAAACACAATTTGAGCTCTGTTTAGTGCGACATGTTGTCAAAGCCAATCTACAAGTCATAAACATGCTCACAGATCTGCAGAGAGATAACTAGGAAATTAACAAACACTTGTCTATTTTCTATTCTTACTATGTGAAATTATCTACATCTAATTCAAAAGGAAAAGTTTCAGAATCTGATTTAAGGTAAACATGCAGCAACTAAGATTAACTAAAAGGAATGACTCCTAAACAAGTTATAGGAGGTGAGAAAGGGACAGTGGTTCAAATGCAGATTCAGTCACTAGAACGGAGATATTCCACAGAAAAAAGATACATATAAAAGCAGTTATTACATAGTAGATGACTTAACAAGAAGGAAGCAAAATTCCCTCTTGCTTCTTTCATCCAGGGAATATGTATAAATGCCAAAAAGAATTAAATATTTTTCCATATATTGTCTACATGACTCATTCCAATGAAATGTCTAATTAAATAAAGATGATGAGTGAAATTATATAAACCAAACAGTGAGAGGTTTCTGAATCTGCCGTCGCATAAATGCCTTCAGCTTGCTGGTCGAGGATGCACAATGACATATTGCTTGTAGGCCTTTGGTTGAAGTGGGAAATCTGTTTTGGTTGAGAAATTAGAGTTTTAATAGTCATTTAATGCAAAATAGTCTTCCACTTATCAGGTCTAAGGTTTGACTCCCCTTGGGTGCAAACAATTCCTGGGGGTTGAGTATCAACTAGGAAAAAAAAAAAAAACAAAAGAGCCTTCCACTGGCAAAATATGAATGTTGGCCAGTATTCGAGGATCTTTGTCAGGTTAGGGCTTTTTCGAAGGGTTTTGTGGTAGAAATTAGAAAGAAGAGAAAGAGGTTAAAGTAAAACAATATGATGGAAAGATAACTGAAGAGAGAGGAACATCAGAGAGTGGAGGGAGGCCACCAACTCTTGGTTGCACTCATGGTTCATGCTACTTTGAACTGTTGGGTAGACAGTTGATTTTTTATTTCTTTTTTTTCTCTCTTATTTAAATTTTAATCTCTGCTTAATATGGTGTAAATACACAATTCTCTTTAGTGGTCATGAGTTACCAGAAAACCAAGATATTAGTTGTCCAATTGGTTTCAGAGAGCAACTCTTGGACGGAAAAGTACAAAGAAACCTCGTCAACATGAGTAAGAGAGTTGGCGACGTGGTAAATCAGAAACTAGACATTTTAGGTTCAAATATCCCAATACTTGTCTGATGCATGGTTTGCCAATGATCAAGAGTACACCGATCTCAATTCTAAATCAACACAACTGAACTTCTGGAATTCAAATTATGGAGTTGGAAATAATTCTGGTTCGACCTTGACATGATCCAGATTCACTGACAGTGCATTAAAAGCTATTTAATGCCACTAGTATTTTACTCAACTCAACAAAGCCTTTTTCCAACTATTTGGACTCAGCTACATGAATCCTTGTGTGCTATTCCCTTGTACTAAGGCCACAACCTCAGCCAAACCACATGCTTTATATAAGGCCATAAAGATAAAGATGATATAAGTAGAATTATCAAGCTGCCCATAGCCAACTCTTATTAGAGCCAAATTCAAACTCCAACTCTACCAAAATTATCAATTTTGAGATAGTTAGGAAAGATTTGATATGAGCTTATGGCCTGATAACAAAATGTCGGAACATGATTCGTGTAGCCAACTCCAAATAGTTGGGAAAAAACTTTGTTGAATTGGAAAGTTTAACTAGTTTTTTTGTCAATTTTAACTCCATATTTATATTTTATCTTTTCTCAAAGACTGTTTGGTCCTAGCATTTTTATATTATTTTATTTTTTGGTCGGTAAATTGGTCTTAGCATTTAGGTTTTAAAAATAAATAAATATTTGGTCTTGTCATTTTCTACAATATTGTTCACTTTATCCTAGACCTAATATACTATGCATACCATGGCATCAACTTTTTTAATTCATGTTGTAAAGCATGAAATATATGTAAAGAAAAATTAAACGAGAAAAACACAAAGATATTATGAGAATGGAGGGAGATAGAAAATAGGAAACAAGAAAGATTTTCCTCCACTGATTCCTCTAGTAACACGAAATCTTCAATAATAGGAAACAACATCAATTACTGAAAGATTTTGCTCCACTAATTCCTCAAAGATTTTGCTCCACTAATTCCTCCATTAAATCTTCAATAATTCAAAATAGTAATGATTTTTATCTAGTGAAATCTATTGGAAGCGCTGCATACTCCCTTAATATGATTGTTGTTCACCAAGGTCCTCATGCTTGGCCTTATTATTATGATTTATGAGATTCAGCAAGCATACAAATTCATATTTCTTTCTTTAATGGTCCACTACCACACAACAACGCCACACTAAAAAGTCAACAAAGTCATTGTCCCAAGAATTTCTCTGAAAGAGTTCTATTTCGGTATTCCATTTTATACCCAAATCTTCAACTAAATCACATAGCGAAACATCTTCCAGTCACTATCCTAACTGAGTTCTTTTAGGTCTTCCCCTTGCTAAGAAAAACCTTAAAATGGGACCTAACCAACTATGGTTTTCATTGCACATCTTGTCCCTACTCCCTAGGTGTGCTACCTCCAACTTTAAAAAGTAACTTATAGTTTCATCATTTGCTATCTTGTCATAAATTAATTGCAATGTTACTTCCATTTTCTGAAGATGATTAACACACAACATGTTATATATTAACTATGTATTCTAATGTTTAATAAAACTTTTGTTCAACTTGATAGGAATACATAATCATGCAACACTAATACAAGCATTATTCCACTCCTCCATTTCATTGTATGCCAATTGATAACGTCCCTCCTTTTGTACAACTAAATATACATAAAACAGAATGGTCACTTTCAATATCTTGAGGCTAAACTTGTCAACCAGTTCCTCCATTCTAAATCATGTTTTGCTTAAATTACAGTCAAAGTTTTGTCTTCATCCTAATCTTGATTTTAAAGCTTTTATTCACAATTCTAGTTGGCATGCACCATCTAGGATTTGCCAAAGCCATTGCAGCACAGGCATGGCATCTAAAGGGTAGCCAGGGATATGGATTGATTTATCTTTGATCAAGTAAAAACACACCAACTAGAACTTGAAGAGTGTACATCATCAAGTTTATACCTAAGAATGTGTCTTGCCATATAAGTTCATTACAGCTTCCATAGCCACTCGTTCAAAATAAATGATCATCTCAATTCATATAGCAAATGTATCTTCCTTAAGACACATTTGCTTTCTAAACCATTTCTATGTAAGAAACTACCTTTCTTCAGTTTTAGACAGTCTATATTCTAATTTTATGTCCTATATCTTCTAATAAAAACTTTTAAGCCATCATCCTGTCCGTTTTCGACAATCTGTAGTCTAATCTTATTTCCTAGGTCTTCTAATACAAAATTTTACAGCCATTATCCTATGACAGAGGCAATTAAATGACTTAAACAATTTAAAAACTAAATTATTATTTTCTCCTTTTAACTTAAAAGGGGCACAATGAGTATGTCTATTTAGTGTTAGTGTGCACCTACTTGCCAACCACCTACTCATATATTTTGTTACATGGAGTCTTCAAAAGTAAGTGAAGTGCTTGTGTCCGACACACAATACTTGGACATGGGTATATGTGATATGCACCGACATTTTTGGTTGGGTGTAAACCTAAAAAGCATATTCAATTATTTAATTTTATTCTATTGGTACTTCAGAACGATTGAAAATCCTATATTGTTACATAATGACATAATTTAAGTCTAGAATTAAACTAAAATTATTATAAAATATGAATATTTAGCAGTGCCTCTGTGTCTTAATATTGGAGGATTCGACACGTCCAATGTTTGGATACATACCCACGTCCAACACAAGTACTCGAGTCCATCTTCTATCCTTTTGGGTAAAACAATCTGTGTGTGTGTGTGTGAAATCCTCGGTCTTGTTGATTTTTTTGTAGAGAATTCGGGGAAGATGATTCCATCATTTTTGCATAGCTCAAAGATGTGTGGTTCGGAACGGTTTCATTTCAAGAGGCTATTCAGATCTTTGGTATAAGATAAAGTACGGTTTACAAGGTACAGGAAGCGACTGTAAGTCTGTAAAACCTCATTTCAATTAATCCATTATATATATATATATGTACAAAATTTGAAAATCTTAAATCCAACTCAACAAGGCTGAAAGGAAAGACAAAATAAAATTTGTTCGAAGTGCTCAATATGGTACCTTATATATGCTGGAAGAATGCTTTCACAGTAATAAAGATTCCAAAAGAGTGAAAAACTGTGCTATTGACCAAGCAAATACATAGTGCATGAACTTTCGTGATCAATCACACACCACAGGTAATGTTATCTCTTTGGAGCAAAAAATCATCACAAGCTCTACTACACGCAGACTCCAAAAACACCTTTTCGTTAAGTTCTCTTCCAAACCTCGAGAGGTAATTTAGACCCATGATAAGTTCTGTAATTGCAGCTTCTGTCTTTGGTTGATTTGCAAAGTAGAGGGTCTGGACAAGAAGTACATTCATCCCAGAAACCATATGTTGCTTCTCGAAATTCCGCTCAGAATGCCACCTTATCATGTTATGAGCAAGTGGAGCCAGCCACTCTAATATTCTTGCCAATGCCAAACTCCATTCTGCTGCAAGGGCAGCATCATGGACAGATGAAGCTGAAGTTTTGGCAAATAACTTTAGCTTTACTCTCAAAGAGGTTCTGACACTGGTGGGTAACATATTGTATAGGTCATCTCTTGCATCAAGGCAGATCAAGTGAGGAGCCGAAGCTAGCTTCTCAATCAGTATTATAACATTTGCATAATGGAGAGCCAAACCAGCATAACCAAGAGTAGACGCTGGTGCATTCAACAACTTCCGCTTGGAATTGACAATGAAAACTTTAGCGTGAAATATGCTGCTGTAAGAAAGAGAATCCATGTTAGCGTCTTTCGTTCTATCAATGCCATTTGAAAAAACACCACTTGACCTCAAAGAGCCACTGCTTGTCGACACACAGCTTTTCACGACATGAGAATCACTGCCACCCAGAATGCATCCTTTAAAAGGTCCACTACGAACCAATTGTCTGGTTTTCAACTGGGAGGACTTTCCACAAAGGGTAGATGACAGGTGACAAGATTGGCTTTGCTTGTTGTTTGTTCTAATTTTATCAGTAGTCAGCCCCAAATTTGAAACTGATCTCCCAAGCCGTCCAGAAAAGAACCCGTCTGGGTTATTATCAGATGGATGAACCAAGGATTGCATAAGAGTGGAAATGGAATGGCTGCGAAGAAGACAATCAGCATTTATACCTTCAGGATTACTGTTTTCTTCAACAGATGCCATTTGATTAATCCCAAAGACATGTTTGATCCTACTGATTATTGTGAAAAGGGATCTAAGTAGAAGCCTAACGGTGTAATCGTATGTCCTGACCCACGGGGACATCTCTCGTAGATGTTTCACCTCCTGCTGCTGCCACATAACCTTCTGATGAAACTCAAGCAATTTCACCTGACTTAAATTAACATTGCCCTGCATTCTCCTGAGACTCTGCTCAACCTCAGCCAGCACTTCCATCTCTTGACACAATTGTGCTGTAACCGCAACAAATCTCTCCATTTTCCTGACTTTCCTCTCCATCTTCTTCAACCTATATTCCCACCCACACCAATTAAGATCTATCTTAAATGGATCGTCAAAAGCATGTTCAAAATGGTGATATACAGGGTCCACACACCTGTTCCCAAGCCTAGCCACTGCTTTTGCCACACATCGCAAATTATCAATTATCTCAGCAAGAGCAAGATCCATAAGATAATCATCATCATCCGATACAAGCTTTTGGATTCCAAGCGAGTTTACAATATTTTCTCTCAACCCAACAATCTGCTTGTCACTCAGACACTGCCATAAATGAACCACCTTAGACATCAAAGTCACAACTTCAAATGCTAAAATTCCAATTACATCCCTTGGAGGCTCCGACACTCGGCTCTTACGCGAAGTTTTCCACAAGTTGCTAAACCACGAGTCTATCAATGTCTCACCCCCCATTGCACTAGAAATTTGAACCAAAAAAAAGAACTCAATATATATTGCAAGTCCTGCATCAAAGATTTAACAACAAAACGTCAATTATATAATTCCATTTGCAAATATACAACCAAGTAACTATATTTTCTCATGCAATTACATTCTACAGACATTAGATTAACAAATGTATAAATATGCGAGACAGAAATCTTATGAGAACTACATAACATATGAATGTGAGAAAGAAACCACAGAAGGTGAAACCTAATTCTTCAACGTAATCTCTCAACTCCGATCCAAAGAAAAGAAAAAACAAAACAAAAGGTATTGAGTTGCAGGACTAATGAAAAACACAGGCAAAAACATTAACCCTAGACCTAATCGTTTGGTTGCCGAGAAAATGTAGCAAAATTAAGAGAAGAAAGCTAACCTCAACTGAATAAAGTAGTTTAATTACGGCTCAATTGTGCTGTTTTGTTGCCATGTACCAAATGATGAAACATATAGCCCTCAAATTTTCAGCTTCTTTCTCTGTCACCAAACAGGGCACATTGTCAAAACTTGTTCTGATCTCATACTCAAAACAACAATGCAGCAAGTAGAGCAGTAGAATTGAAAGGATGAAGAAGAGACTTAACTGTTGAACGGCTCGCACAGAATGCAGAGATTTATAGGGAGAGATTTGAGGAGAACAGCAGGAGAAGAAGAAGAGGAGGAGGAGGCGTAGGTTTATGATGTGCGCACCACCTGCGTCTAATAGTGGTAGCCCGAATACGATAAGAAAGAGTACATACGGGAAGTGGGACAAGAGGCAAAACTAAAATGCGCCGAAATTCGGTGTGGCCGAGGTGAGTAGTGACCGAGGTTAGTAGTCTCGGATTATGTTGGGTTTGTGCGGATATTATGGTGGTAAAATTAAGTGGTAAGACTTTCGTTTTGGCAGATCCAAGACAAGTCGAGTTGAATTGAGCTCTTGTTGGACTATTACTTCGAGCTTAAGTTTAATTAGTATAAGACAATTCTTGTTTGGCTTCAAAAATATTCGTCATATTTGAATTCGGCTCATTTCAGTAGTATTTCATTTGCTTCCAATTGTTGAAACCATTCAGAAAAAATGTTTACTTAAAAAACTTATAAATTGGAACAGTATTTAATAGAGGAGTAATGAATAACGAGCCTTATCAAGCCTTTTAATGAACATGATGAATTTTATTTATCAAATGAGTTTGAACTTGGCTTGACTTTAACAATTAGCTCAAGCAAAATCAATATATATAATTAGTTTGATTCATCTGTAACAGTATATTCTAATTGAGGGATGTAAAGATAATTAATTAAATATTTTTATATTATATTAATTTGACGATTTGACGTTGGCAACTAATTAAATATAAACAGAACGATGGTGTCGATCCAAGTATAATGACCTGTGTATTTTTATTCGCTATTATGCGTAGAACATTTTAATTGTTAATGTAATTAATTAGCCACGTCGACCCAATATATACGATGGCATTGCACCAAAAGACTTTGACGTAATAAAATATATGGAGGTGTACCAAAATGAGACGTTAATAGAGTTGGGCCTGTCGTTGTGGTGGACAAGTGGGTTGGGAGGGGCTTTGTTGTGGTGATGCGGAGGATTGGGAATTGTATAGGGCATAGCTTGCCGCGTGATGATAAACAATGTAGACCTTCTTAGCTCAATTCTTTGTTGTTAAATTGTGAAATCCAGTTGGATGATAATGTCAAGCGTTTGAAGTTAGGGAATTTTTAACCAACTTCTAAGTTTATTCTAAATTCGTCTTTTTCATTTTCATATATATATATATATATGTTCAATTTTAGTTGACACTGAAACAGCACATTGTAAGGCTCTCCCACCACTTGGGCTTCAAGGCACCCAACCAAATGAACTGTTAGCTTGGTTGCTTTTTCCAGACTTGTAGGATTCTATGTTGGGCTAGGCCCAGTTCATTCAACTGCTTTACTGTGTTTTGTATAGTACGGGCCAAGTTGATGGTTTTATCTATGGCCTTTCCCCGAGTCTTGTGAGCCCTTTTTCCAAATGTTTTGAAGTTTCTATTGTTTTAGAACACTTTGAAAGGGAACACTCTTATGAAGGGATGTGAGGGAGGGAGAAATAAAAAAAATTTCGAAGGAAAAAATGGTGGATGAGTCATTTTTCATCCTTTACAAAAGTTTTTTCCTCCAAATATGGATAAAAGATGCGAAGGAATAAATGCAAAGTTATTATAAATGTTGTTAAATTACAAAACTTTTATTATAATTAGTATTTTATCTTCCCTTCTCTCCTAATAAATAAAATAAGATATTATTTCATTTTTTTCTCTTCCATCCAACCAAAAGAAAATTACACGATCTCTTTTCTAGGGATATCTTCTTCTCTACCTTCCATCAAATTTTCTTCTATTCTACCAAACAGAACAATGACTCTTTTCTCTCTCATCTCAATTTAACAATATTTTAACCCGTTGTTGATGATCGTTCTTGAAGATGAGGAGATAATTCCACGTAGGTCAAGAATGCTAAAGTTAGAGTCCAAGGAGAACCCAAGCACTAGGAGAGATTCTTCTTTGAGATTGGGAGAGGGAAGGCAGAAATTAATACCCAAGTAACTCGAGCTCAGGGGAAATTGGTTTTGTCTTTAATAGCTGATCATCCTTGCTATTCATACTAATTCTTCCGGTCAAGAACCTCTAGTCAGGAGGACAGGTCGTCCTTTACCTGTTGCTTCGACGACTATGCCTCTGCCAAATGGGACACCGATTGGTGGCCCAAGGCAATTATTATATTGGTTCGAGGAAAGGGGTCACTTCCTGTATTAAATGCGGGTCTTATTAGGAACATCTACCTTGTGATGTGAGCTCGGCCTTTGGATAGTGATTATCCTCTCTCTCTTGTGCTGACCTCTCCTTGGACGTTATTTTGGGTTCCAGCCTTCTAGACTCCTTAAGACCATTGTTCATGCTCTATACTCAGAGTTGCGTGAACGGGTAGACTCGAGGCGAGCTATCCCTTTTTACAGTTTAAGCTCTGTCTACAGGAGATAGCTTCGCATTCAACATTGAAGGAGGTACCCATCCTGCTAGAGAGGGCCGAGGTACCTCCATAGAGGAGAGAAAGGTGACGACCCCTTCCTCGCGTCAAGTTTGCAGTTTGGGGGGATAAATAGCTCAAGATCACTTAATCCCTTTCAGGAGGGTGCCAAGCAGATACTGGCGAGGTCCAATCAAGAATGACCAAGTATAGTTTTCACAACAATGCCACGTGGCATGTAGCCGTGGCTGAGTTCGTCAAGAATCAATAGGAGATCTGGAGTGATTTCTCATGGCAGTGTCTCGTGGCAAAACCTTATCAAGACCCGTAAACATCATTTTGGATGCTTGAATTCTCCCAATCAGTCTGTTGAGTGTTGAATAAGATGATTCATTTTCATCATTTAAATATACTATCCCCTTAATTTTTTTCCAAGTTATATTAGGATTAAATTTATGTGATCGTGTCACATTATATAGTTGTACAGTGAAGTGAAAGTAAAGCTAAGAAAAAATATTACAGTGACCTAACCAAGAGGCAGACTTACTATATACATATATGTGTTAATAATAATAATACCAAAAAAAAGGTCTCTGTGGCGTGAGTATTAGCAGAATCATTTCACGTGGAAAAAAGCCGAAAAGTTGATTCTGTAATCTGTATATATCACTTTAGTTATATCACATACAGCTTTACTTCATGATTATTTTATTTAATTTGTTGTGAAGAAGAAAATAATTTAAAATATCAGAGGTGGTCCTCCTTTGCTTGCTCTCTTAACGAAGTCTAAAGTCATTGTGTTTTTTCATTTTTTTAGGTACATGGATAATGGATTATCTTCTTCCTAAAGATATATATTTTCCTTCTTTTTTTTTTTTTCTTTTTCTTTTGGGACTCTGCAAGATAGAAAATTTTATATCTACTGAGCTCCTAGCTACATTTATCAAGGCAAGTATATATTGGAAAACCCAATTGTTTAATTTTATAATTTCCCATATATAATATGTTTTGTGGCAAAGTCCAAGTGAATATTTGTAACAAAAGGGTTCACGATATGGCAATGTTGACACTACGTACCTACCCCCACATGGTTATTACTAGAGTACCTCCCTTTTTCTTCATTGCTTTTCTCTTTCTGTTCAAATTTATTTAATATACACATAACACTGAAACAACTCCTCCCAAAAAAATAAATAAAGATAGAGTTAAAGACAACAAAAGAAAAAAAGAAAACCTTGTATTTTCTTTTTCTCAAAAGTTTAAACAAGTGTAGAAAATATATATATATATATATATATATATATAGAGAGAGAGAGAGAGAGAGAGAGAGAAAGTAAGAAATGTAATGATTAGTGTTTTGAAATCAAAATTAAAGAAAATTCAGTTTAAAAAAAGAAAACCATTGATTTTCATTTTTATCAAAAGTTTAAACAAGTGTAACCTCATGTAGATATGAGAAAAAAAAAAAAAATTAGACAATGTAAAAAATGTAATGATTAGCGTTTTGAAATCAAAACTAAAGAAAATTCAATTTAAATTTTAATTATGTTTTTTTTTTTAATTTTAAATTTAAGATATCGATTCAGTGTTCCTAAACATAACACGAGAAATTTTTATTTTATTTTTATAAGGATCTTGATTATTTAAAAATGTTAATAATAATGGATTTAGATATAATGGACCTCGATGTAAGGTATTGCACATATATTAATATCATTTTTACAATGTAATACTCAAGCAGTATTAGAAATTTCAATCTTCAAAAAGAAAAATAATGAATGTATATTGCTCGGGTACTATAAGCCTGATATTTAAGTTCATTTCGATAAAGTATGAAAATTTTAAATGCTGAAGTTTTATATATATATATATATATATATATATATATATATATATTGAAATATTTTAGCATTCCGTGATAAATCACTTAAAATTTTACTCTATTTTAAGTGGTGTTGTAACTTGTAATATTCAAATTGCATTACCAAACACATTTAATTGGATAAACTCTTAATCCCATTCATAATTAAACGTTGAATTTAGTAATCAAACAACACATTAGGCTCCATTTGTTTTGACATAAAATATTTTATTCAAATTTTTTTTTCCTTTTTCAAGTAAAATATATTTTGTAAAATTTTATTTTTTGGTGTTTGGTAAAGGTGTAGACAGAGGTTGAAATCAAGTCCAACACGCTGGACATATAAAATAACTTACCAAAAATTGATGGGTAAGTTATTTTTATTAGGTTTTAATATATATTTTTTTCCTAAATATTTGATGACAATCAAATACCAACAAATAAAATAATATTTTACATCCAAATAAAAGGAGCCTAAAATATGTTTTAATTTTTAATAAAATTTCTTCAAGCTTGGCCTCAAACAACTAATTTACAACCTCATATGTACAGAAGTGAGAAAAAAGAAGCCAAATGTAAAGCACAATTAAAATTTCTCCTCCTTATTATACCAGGCTGTACTATAAAATGCAAGGTGTTGAAAGGGAAAGACTGAAAGGCTAACTGACTTTGGTATTATTTGAACAAAATTACTAGAGGCAAAAACATAACATATAAGCAGACATGCTTAAGGACTGTTTGGGGTTGCTATAAATAATAAGAAGCATGATATTTATTGAAAATCAATTAAAATAAATATACTTTTTTCATAAACATATTTTTCTATATATATATTTTTTACGTCTTAAAAAAAACTGTTGGCTTACTTAAAAATACCAATCCAACAAAAATGTTTACAATGAAATTAGTAGATAGAATTAAACTAGGTGGACCAATCCTATAGAAAATTATTGTTAGATTTTTTTTATAATATATTAATACATTCTCATGGATTAATTGAACTAATTCTGACCTACACGATAACATGAAGACTGAACCCTGATCTTTTTACCTTAACCTTCCAACATTCAGTTTGTTTGGTAAGAAAGTACCAACCTTTTGATTTGTTAGTTGGAATATTATTACCTTTGTACAAATAAATGACCTAAATCTGTAATTCAACCTAACAACATAAATATAGATGAGTGTAGTGGGCATAATTGACTTTTCCTCAGGTGCGGTGCCCCATCCGTCTAAGTAAAGGACTAGGGAGTCAATAACACGTAACTGATATATACATTTATAAAAAATAAAAAATAAAAAATAAAAAATAAAAGTGAAATAATTACTACAACTAGTAATTAAAAATACTGGTCCCAATTAAGTTCAGTAACGTAAGTTTGGGATTTGAACTTTTCTTGAAAAAGTACACAATATATTATATTTTATGTTTGGTTCGTGACTTTAACAGCACAGCACCGGTTGACTGGTCCATTGGGCGGTTTTGTAGACTTCCAAAAGTGCTTTTTTAGCAATAACTTAAAATTAAGGAATGAGTTTCTTTATTTATTACTAATTTGTCCTTCCGTTCTAGTATTTTTTTTTCTAATATTTTTACACTCATTTAGTCAATATTACATTTATATTTTTAATAAATACACATTTGAGATTAAGTAGTCAATATATATATATATATATATGACAATAAACACATTTACACATTTACACATCTACTTTTGTTTTTATGAGACCATTAAACTACAAGGTCCTCAATTAAGTAATCAATTTTATGTAAATGTTTATCTTGTTGTGTTATCAAAAAAAAAAAAAAAAAACATATATTTTATAAATACACATTTGGAATTAAGGACTAGTACTCAGTATTATGTAAATGTTATCATAAAACTATATTTATTACAAAATTATTTTATAATCTTAATTAAAATTATACAAAATTATCAAAATCAAATTCATTTTACAAATAATTAATTAGCAACTTCTTAGAGTAATCGAAATTTCAAATATTTATGAAGCTAAATGTTTTGTTTTTTGCACATTTATTAGTGATAAACACGATTCTAAGTGTAAAGATTAAAGTTTGAATGGTTACAAGTTCTTATTTAAATAATTATTAAATATGATATAAATAGTAATTTTAAATAAATGTTAAAATTCATATTTTCTAAAATTTAATCCAAACTAAATGTATAAAATAGTTTTAGAATTTAATAGGAGAACGATATAAGTTCTTTTAATGTTACATATTTATTTCTCTTATTAAATTTTCTTTTATTGAATTAAATAAATAAGTTAATTAATATTATATATTAATGTAAAATTTTTATTATTATATATTAGTATAATTTTTAACATTACACATTAATGTGTTTCCTTATCTAATAAATAAGTTTTTTTTTAATATTATATATTAATGATTTCCTTCTCTAATTAGAATTTTTTAATATTTTATATATATATATATATATATATCTAATTAGATCTTCTTTTATTAAATTTCAGTATTTTCTACTACCTGTATTATTATTAACTAAATAAATAAGTTTTTAAATTTTATATATTTCCCTCTCTAATTAAAAATTTATTTTATTTAATTAATAAAAATAAGTTTTAAAATATTATATATAACTGTGTTTCCTTCTCTAAATAGATTTTTTTAATATTATATATTTTATTATTTAATTAGATTGCCTTAATCTTTGTACTACAATAAAGTATTCTTTTAATGTTTTAATATTATATATTTATTTCTCTAATTAGTTTTCCTTTTATTAAATTAAATATTATTATACATTAATTTGTTTCCTTCTTTAATTAAAATTTTAATATTATATATTAAATTTTTTAATTAGTTGTCCTTTTTAATTATATATTACGAATAAATTTTTTACAACTTTGACTTTCTTTGCTATTTATATATGTCTTGGGAGACAAAATAAAAATAAACTACTAATTAATTTTCAAAACCAATAGAAACAAATGGGTGGGCGCTTAGATTTGGAACTGGTGGGTGCCCCAAACACAACATTTACTGTGTAAAAAAAAAAAAAAAAAAAAACAAAAAAGATTATATTGCCGGAGTATGCCTATAAACAAAATGACAAAAGAAAGATACTGGAAGTGGTGGCGTTATCAAGATCCTTTATTCGGTATGAAAAATACACACAATAATTAATAAACAAATCATGCCATTCCTTTAAATCAGAAGTGCAATCTGGGTAATTCACATCGCAGTAGAATCCAGACAAGACAATATCAATATTTTTCCGGTCTTTTTCTTCCCCACACCCATCAAATAGTGTGAACTTTACAAACTCCCAACAAAGTAATTCTGAAAATCACGCGGAACAGAGCTTCTATTTCTGGCGCCATTGCAGAAACAAAAAAACCCCTTTCAAACTTTTTCCCCTTTTGTTTTCTCTCTCTCAAATTAGTTTTTTTGTTGAAGAAATGGAAGAGAAGGAGAGTACAGTATCTGGGTCGCCGGGAGGTAACTCAGAGAACGAGTCACCGCCGGTGAGTGGTGGTGGAGGAGTGGTGCCACAGGTGGTGAACATGGGTATGGAGAGAAGCCTAGGAATCGCCACCGTAGGCGGTGGTGGAAGTGGTGATCCGTTGTTGGGAAAAAAGAAGAGAGGGAGGCCAAGAAAGTATGACTCAGATGGTAACTTGAGGGTTCCATATGTATCACCACCACCAGGCTTTTCTTTGTCACATTCTTCTGACTTCTCTTCCAAAAAGGGTCGTGGAAGGCCACCTGGTTCTGGTAACTGGCAAGTACTTGCTTCATTAGGTAAGTTCTCTCTATGCACACCGGATATATATATATATATATATATATATATATATATATATATATATATAATATGCAAGCTTAGAATTTTAGATTCACAAATCGGTTAGGCTTATGGCGAAGTTTTTATTTATTTATTTTTAAAATGGAGATTTTCTCAAAATATTTTTTTTTGGTGGCGGGTTTGATTTCCCGAGAATAAAAGGGTAAATCTAAAGGTTGCAGTTTGTGTTGAATATTTTGAGTTTATTGCCTACCATGATCAGATTAACACAGGGAACACGAGTTACGTGAGCATATATTTGGTGATTTTTCAGACATTGGAAATGATTTTAATTTTGAGGCTGATGGTATTAGTGATAAGACAATGTAGATTTTTTTTTTTTCGTCCAATTTTGGTAAAAAGGGTTCGCTTTATTTTAGATTTATGAACTTTACAGTATTTGATTCTTTGATTTGTGAACTGTGAAGGTGAGTTGTTTGCCAACACGGCTGGAGGTGACTTCACGCCACACATTGTGACTGTAAATACAGGAGAGGTAATACCTTAAGGCATCTTTTCTTTTGTTGCTGATATAGAACATAGCAATTAGTTTGATCTGCCTTATAATTTAAAGGACAAATTGCATAAAATTCTCTTGAATTGTTTAATTATATATATATATATATATATATATATATATATATATATATATAATGATGATAGGTGAATACTCCGAGAGAAAGAGAAGAAGAAATTCTCTTATTGCATATTTAGAAATTGTACATAAACAATACATAAATAGGAAAATTTGGAGGCTACAGACCAGCTACTCAATTTCCTAAATTGATGGAATAAAACAAGCGACAAATAAATAGGAATTAAATTAGGAAAGTCAACACACAAAGAATCAAATCAACATTAAATAGGAAAAACAATCAACCAGCATTTACACCCTAAAATTAGGGTGCCAGCTATTCATGGATAAATCCATGTCTCCACTACGTATTGAGAAAAAAGAAAGAATTCTCAACACTCCCCCTCAAGCTGGAGCATAGATGTCAATCATGCCCAGCTTGGCTCCTAATTTTTCGAAATTCAATCTCGGTAGGCCCTTTGTCAAGATATCAGCAGTTTGGCTACTTGTAGGAACAAATGTCATACAGATTGTTCCTTTTTCAATTTTCTCTTTGATAAAATGACGATCTACTTCCACATGCTTTGTTCGATCGTGATGAACAGGGTTATGAGCTATACAGCCTTATTATCACAGTACATCTTCATAGGTAGATTTGCTTCAATTTTTAATTCTTGTAATAATTACTTTAACTACAATAATTCACAAATACCTTAAGCCATAGCTCTAAATTCAGCTTCTGCACTGCTTCTAGCAACAACTGCTTGCTTTTTACTTCGCCAAGTTACTAGGTTTTCCCAAACAAACGTACAGTAACCAGTAGTGGACCTTCTATCTGTAATTGAACCTGCCCAATAATTGAACCTGCCCAATCAACATCTGTGTATGCCTCAATTTTCTTCTCTTCATGTTTTCCAAAAAATAGGCCTTTACCAGGAGTTCTTTTGAGGTACTTGAGGATTCTGTACACGGCTTCTAAGTGATCCTTTCTAGGAGAATACACGAATTGACTGACTGCACTAACTGCGAAGGCTATGTCTGGACGTGTGTGAGACAAATAGATCAGCTTTCCAACCAATCGCTGATATATGCCTTTGTCCACAGGAGTTCCACCTTCTCTCAGTCCTAGCTTTTGATTAGGATCCATCGGAGTGTCAGCAGGTTTACAGCCAAGCATACCTGTTTCCTTTAGTAAATCCAGAGTGTATTTTCGCTGTGAGACTGAGATTCCTTTGCTAGTTCTTGCAACTTCCATGCCCAAAAAATATTTTAAGAAACCAAGATCTTTAATCTCGAATTCATTAGCCAGAGTCTTCTTCAATAGTTCTATTTCTTCAAGATCATTACCTGTGAGGATTATATCATCAACATAAACAATTAATATTGTGACTTTCCCTTCACGGATTGTTTATAGAATAAAGTATGATTTGCTTGAGTTTGACTGTATCCATGTTTGCGAATTGCTTTAGTGAATTTTTCAAACCAAGCACGTGGTGACTGTTTCAACCCATAAAGGGATTTCCTCAGTCTGCATACTTTCCCAGATTCACTCCTGTTTTCAAATCCTGGTGGTCTGTCCATGTATACCTCCTCGTCAAGATCTCCATTAAGAAAGGCATTCTTCACATCTAGTTGTTGTAGAGGCCAATCCAAATTGCTGTGAAAGATAAAAGGACTCGGATGGTGTTCAGTTTTGCCACCGGTGCAAAAGTCTCCTAGTAGTCCACTCCATATGTTTAAGTAAATCCCTTCGCTACAAGTCTAGCTTTATATCTCTCAATAGAGCCATCAGATTTGTACTTCACAGTGAAGACCAATTTACATCCCACTGTTTTCTTTCCTGTAGGCAAGTTTACCAATTCCCACGTGCCATTTTTTTCAAGAGCCCTCATTTCTTCTTTAACAGCTTCTCTCCACTTTGGAATAGATAGAGCCTCCTGTATAGAATTTGGAATTTCGATACTAGAAAGATTAGTGGTAAAAGCTCTATATGATGGTGATAATTTTTTATACGAAACAAATCTAGAGATAGGATGAAGGGTGCATGATCGAATTCCTTTTCTAAGGGCAATTGGCAAATCTAGATCAAATTCATTATTAAGCATAGAAGTAGACTCGAAGGGGAGATTACCTGAATCAGAATTTCGAGTCACTGTCTGAGGTTCGGATTCTTGGCGATGCTAAGGTGGTGGTTGCTCTATTACTCGTTGATTGTTTCGTCGAGTGTAAACCCCTAGCTCTTGTTCATTCGGCTGCTGAAGTTCTCCCCCTATCTGAGAATTTTCACATGTTAATGGCATAGTAGGATTAGGAGGAGAAGGTGGAGGTTGATCTAGTTGAGATGGGGTTGAGTTAGGTAGAGAAATATCCTAAAACTGATCTTCCGAAATATGTTGCTCCCCCTGAAGATCTGTTTTTGAAAACAATGACTGGTTCTCAAAAAAGGTGACATCCATGGAGGTGAGAAATTTCCTTTTTTCTGGAGAATAACACCGGTACCCCTTTTGAGTAGGAGAGTATCCCACAAACACACATTTTATGGCTCTTGGATCAAGCTTGCCACGGTTATGGCTATGTATATGGACGAAAGCAGTACAACCAAATACTTTGAGAGATAATTTGCTAATGAAACGTATATGAGGATTGGCTTCAATCAAGGAGTTGAGGGGAGTCTGATAATTTAGGACTCTAGTGGGCATACGGTTTATGAGATAAGAGGCAGTGAGAATTGCTTCTCCCTAAAAAGTTTTTTTCATATTTGAGGCGAACATGATAGACTGAGCCACTTCTAGGAGATGGCGGTTTTTTCTTTCAAAGAGGCCATTTTGTTGGGGGGTATCCACACATGAGCTTTGATGAATAATGCCATGTTTGTTAAGAAACTCACTGAGAACAGAGTTAAAATATTCACGACCATTATCAGTTCTTAATATTTGAATTTTTGTTTGAAACTGATTTTGGATCATGAAGTGAAATTCTTTGAAAATATGCGCAGTTTCAGATTTTTCTTTTAAGAGAAAGACCCAACAAATTCTAGTGTGATCATCAATGAAGGTTACAAACCATTTTTTACTAGTAAAAGTTGGTACTTTAGAAGGCCCCCAAATATCACCATGAATGATGGAAAAAGGTTTTGATGATTTGTACGGTTGAGATGGAAAAAAAGTACGATGATGTTCAGTAAGTTGACATATTTCACATTGAAATAAGGCTGGATTTTTATTCTTGAATAATGAAGGAAATAGGTTTTTTAAATAGGAAAAACTAGGGTGGCCAAGTCTACGATGCCACAACATTATTTCTTTTTCTCCAAATAAAGAAAGAACTTCACTCGTACAGCTTGTTTTTTGAGCTTGTCCACTTACGACTATGTCCTCATCAAAGTAATAGAGCCCTTCACATTTCCTAGCATTGCTAATCGTCCTCCCCGAAGACAGTTCCTGAAATTCACACAAGGAATTAGAGAATTTAGCAATACAGTCTAGATCCTTAGTCAGTTTGCTAATAGACAAAAGATTACATGAAAGATTAGGAACATGAAGAACAGATTTGAGGGTTAGACTCTTTCAAATTGGAATTGAGCCTTTTCCTGCAACGGAAGATAATGAACCATCTGCAATTTTTATTTTTAGATTTCCAGGACATGGATTATATGAAGAGAAAAAAATTTCACAACCTGTCATGTGATCGGTGGCTCTTGAATCAATGATCTAGGGTTCCTTTTTGCTGACACTTAAAGCAATTTTAAAACTACCTTTTTGGGCTAAGAAAGACGAAGGATTGCTGGAATTTGTGCTAGACTGGTTAAGGAGTTTGATCAGCTGCTCTATTTGGTCCTTGTTGAGAGATAAGGCACCGGAGCTATGGCTGTCTGGAACAGGGATCAGTGGCTGACCGTCGGCTGCAATTTGATATCCTTGTGGTTCTCTTTCTGATCTTGGCTTCCAGTTTGGTGGTTTTCCATGTATTTTCCAACATGTTTCTCGGGTATGACCTGATTTACGGCAATGGTCACACCATGGTCTGCCTTTCCGAGGATGGTTGTCATAGTTTGAGGGACTGGAGTTTTGGGTAACCAAGGCTGATCATTCTGTTGAAGCAGGTTGATTTTGGCTACCCATCATCACCTTTTTTCTGCTTTCCTCACGTCGAACTTCTGAGAATACTTCACGGATGCTTGGTCGAGGTTTAATACCGAGGACTCTTCCCCTTACTTCATCAAGGTCTTTATTAAGACCCAACAGAAACTTATAGATTCGTTCTTTCTCGACAATCTTTTTATATTTTTCTGCATCTCCGGGAGTATCTCATACAGAGGTCTCGAACATATCTAGTTGGTGCCAATGACGAGTGAGTATATTGAAATATTGGGTAACAGACATCTCACCTTGTCGTAGATCATGAAGGATACCCTTAATTTCAATCAGTTCTGATGTATTTTTATTATCAGAATAAGTCTCTTTTGCTGCATCCCACATCTCCTTTGCTGTTGCATAGAACATGAAGTTTTCTTCCACCTCTGTAGTCATGGAATTAACCAACCATGACATAACCATCATGTTCTCAGCTTTCCAAGTTTTGAATTTTGGATCTTCTTTTGTTGGAGCAGTAATCTCTCCGGTGAGATAGTCGTCCTTTCCTTTGCCACAAACGTACATCATGACGGATTGAGACCATTGTGGGAAATTGTTTCCGTTCAGTTTGTGTCCGGTAATTGGTAAGACTGAGCCTTCGGATCCTCCGACATGGCTGAGGATGGTTTTTTCTTGAGTAGATGTCACATCCAAGCAAGAGCTTTATTTCTGCTCTGATACCATAATGATGATAGGTGAATACTCCGAGAGAAAGAGAAGAAGAAATTCTCTTATTGCATATTTAGAAATTGTACATAAACAATACATAAATAGGAAAATTTGGAGGCTACAGACCAGCTACTCAATTTCCTAAATTGATGGAATAAAACAAGCAACAAATAAATAGGAATTAAACTAGGAAAGTTAACACACAAAGAATCAAATCAACATTAAATAGGAAAAACAATCAACCAGCATTTACACCCTAAGATTAGGGTGCCAGCTATTCATGGATAAATCCATGTCTCCACTACGTATTGAGAAAAAAGAAAGAATTCTCAACAATATATATATATATGCACAAAATACCGCTAAAGAAATTTGTTGACATATTACTCCCATCAACCATTTGAATTTTACATCGAACCTAAGGGAGTCATGTTCATTTTAACTGTAACCTGAAACAAACAATGTAATCATTTCATATTTCATCAAAAAACTTGGGGTTCATTCGGCTGCATGGAATTGGAATTGGTGGAATTTGAGAAAAAAACAACCAAGAAATTTTTCCTCAAATTCCACCAATTCCAATTCCAATTCCATGAAAACCGAACATACCCTTAGGAGAAAATATGGAATTTGTTAACACATAAAATAGTTAAACACCCATATATTTTGCTTTAAGTTTGCGGTGCTTTATTGAAATTCCATCTTGTTATTTGCAGGATGTTGCAGCAAAGATCCTTTCGTTTTCTGAAAAAGGTCCTCGGGGAGTTTGCATCCTTTCTGCCAATGGAGCTGTTTCTAATGTTACTATTCGACAGCCAGGTTCTTCAGGGGGCATCTTGACATATGAGGCATGGCCTCAAACTGGTTTCATCTCTTTTCAATTAAGCTTGTTGGCATTTTTTCTTCTTTAATTTGCACGTATATCAGATTTCTTACATTGATGTATAATTTTCCGCAATTTATGCACCGATATCACCTTTCTGGTTTTTTTATATGATTAAAATGAAGGTCCTTCCCACATTGCTTTATTATTATTATTATTAGTTTTTTTTTTTTTTTTTTGGGGTACGAATTTTCATGGATATATAGTTTGCATAGGATAGTTAATTTATATATATCATAACTGTAAGCTGGCCTGTTTGCTAGTTAATATCCTTCTCTAGCGTGGCCACCAAATGCACATGATCACTGATTGCTGATAAATTTATTTTCCTACTGTTGCTACCAAATGCACGCGAGGAGTATTTCATGTTACTAAAGTAACTTTGTATCAAAGGTTTAGGCTTAAACTTCTGAACTTAATTATTTATTTATCCTAGTTGGGACTCACGCACACTGCCTCCACTGAGGTTCGAACTCCTGACCTCCCTTTGGGAAGTAGGAGCCTTGTACCGCTAGGCCACAGGTGTGTTGGTAAACTTAATTAATTTGACTTTAAGGTTTCTAAACTTCTAATAACTCCAGCAAGAAATGATAGAGATCACACTTTTGTGAATATTATCACTGGGGTTTATTCAAAATACCCCAGCAACAGAAACAAAAGGAATGTATAAAGTTGTCTTTTTCTCCTATATTCAATGGATCCCCTGTTTCTGGAATTTTGGGAACGTAATAAATTAAGAGAGCATTCTCATGGTTAGATAAATCATCTTTACTTAGAGATCATGTACATGCGCTTATGCAAGAAGTTTTATTTTTTTGTTGACTTTTAACAGGATTTCAGATTTAACTATACAATGATTTGCAAGTAAGGAGCAATGTTGATAGAGGTAACAAATTGAACATAAAATGAAACAGAAACACTTGTACAGTACCTGATGACTATGGAGGCTAAAAGTCAGATTCTTGGTAGTGGAGTTCCAATTTTTCTTATCTTGCATACACACATAAAACTTTGATGTCCTAACCGTAGTGAAGCCAACTTTGGGTTATTGATATTCATCTGTCTAAAAACAACACTTTCTAGTCTCGTATGATTAAATGTAGTTTATGTTGGAAACGGGGGCATTAAAAACATAAACTTTGGATGAGATTTGGAATAGATTCCGCTAAGAATTTTTTGCGAATTTCTAGACGAGCGCGTTTCTCTCCGCAAGGAGATGAACGTGGTATATTTGCTTTCTCAAATCTGTTTCCGGGTGAATGAGAAATTAGCTCCAAAATGTGGTGTTTTGATATGCCTAAATGGGTATGCAAAATGTGGGAAGTGTTTGTCCCACATGGAAAAAAATGTTGAGACAATTGAAATTTAAATAAGCCAAATTTGGGATTTAGGCTTGGGCTTGGGCTTGGGCTTGGGCTTGGGCCTAATTATAAAGTCCAATTATTCTTTTTACTAAATGGAATTTTGGATTGGGCCTTTAATTTTAGACTGGGCTTATTTAAATGGGTGGTTAGTTTTTGAATTTAAATTAAAAGTTAGTTTTTTCAAAGGGTTGCATCTATTTCCAAAAGGTTGCATCTGTTTTCCAAAGAGTTGCATCTGTTTCAAAAGGGTTGCAATTCAAAACCAACAGACATAACTATTCATTTGAACCATTGCAACCTATTGGAGTGGATGTGTCTATTGGTGAACAGACACCATGTGAACCGTTACAACCAATTGGAGTGGATGTGTCCAGTGTGAAGAGACACATATATATGATTGTGTCCAATGATAAAGAGACACATATAAATGGTTGTGTCCAATGATGAAGAGATACACCCAATCCGAAAAGGCACCTTACTTAAAAACTACTTTTTAGTTTTTTCCAAAGGGTTGCACCCAATCCGAAAAGGCACCTTACTTAAAAATTACTTTTTAGTTTTTTCCAAAGGGTTGCACCCACCCGAAAAGGCACCTTGTTGCCTATAAATACCCTCCTTTGGATCATATGCAAATCAGTCATTTTCATTTTCTTCTAACTCCCTCTCTAGACTTGAACCCAACCTAAGTGGGTTCAAACCATAGGTTAAGTGGTCCGAACCACTTAGACCTTAATCCAATTTCATCGAGTCGTATTAAGATTGGTCCGAACCATTTGGTTCGGATTGTACCCAATTCAACATTTATATAGTATAGATATAGATACATTTTTGAGTCCGAGAGAGTATTACAAGGAGAAGGTTCGCCGTATTCACGAGTTTGTAGTGCTGCTACTGGTGGATGTAGACCGTTGTATCCTGGGAGATAGATGCCACTGAGTTCGTTAGCATCATAGCGGGGCGAATCTGTCTTAAGAACATAGTATTCAATATTAGCCTCGGTCCAGGTTTTTTATTTATTATTATTATTTTATTGTTTTATTTTGCATATTTAATTAAATATAGAGTTGCATATTTAATTAATGATTTCTTAGCATATTGTTAATTATCTCATGACATATTAGTATAAGATTTGTTAATTCTTAAATGTTACATGAAGCATATATGTACCAACAGTTTATGCCTTCCTGCTAGTTGCATTTCTTATATGTACTCACTAATAAATATATAACCATGGGGTTATTTTGTTATTGCAATCAATTTTGTGTCTTACTTATTCATTTCATGCAGGGCCGCTTTGAGATATTATCCTTAACTGGGTCATTCACAATTTCTGAAAATGGCGGTGTGAGAAGCAGGACTGGTGGTTTAAGTGTGTCATTGGCTGGTCCAGATGGTCGTGTGGTTGGTGGTGGTGTTGCTGGTTTATTAATGGCTGCTAGTCCAATCCAAGTAAGAACCCTTTCTTTTTTAATCTATTCATACGGGGTTACTACAATAGTTGACTGTTAACTTTGAATTATGTGTTGGGTAGTTGCTCGTAAGCCATTTCACTGCCTCCTGATATAAATGATGGATTATTATTTATTGGGAGATTGATCATATAGCTCTTACAATGTATTTCATATTCACGGCTTCATATGTGAAAATGCAATGCGAAGAGATTCTTTGTTGCTTAAACGTACTACTACCTTGTGAAATATTGTACACAGTTCTTTACCTTGTAATGTGCAATGTTTCATCTGAGTTGTGACTCTTGTGTTTCAAACCTCATTCTCATCTTTCAATCAAATCTTAGATGCCGAAAAATGGAATACATAATAGTTAAGTATGACAATCATCGTCTAGCATATTCCTAAGCCAGAAAATCTGCGCTATCTCTTACTTCTCATCACCGTTGAGCATATGAGACGTGTCTCACTAAACTTAGTTGGCAAGTTGTAGGAATATAATTTGAAACTTGTGAACATGCTAAATTTCAAGAGAATAAATCTATTTATTTTTTCTTTATATTTGTCATGCAATAGCAAGAATAGAAACCCGAATCCTTTCAGATCCCTTACCACCATGCTAAGATAGCTATGTCAAACTGATGAATAACTCATGTAAGCACAGTTGCACATACCCGCTGACATGCAAGCACACACGCACACTAGACTACTAGTCAAATGTTCAAAAAATTTCTTTTGTGGTTCTTTTATTCATCTTGATTAAAAAGGCTACGCGGCTTAATGCCAATTGCCCTATGAGTCCGTTTCAATTTCTTTTCCCCGAGTCCCTTTCGGATTGGCTGCATGTTAGCTGTAGGTTGGCTTGACATTGGTTGCGTGCTTTTTAAATGGCACATGCACAAAATTTCCTATGACGAATTGATGATTGCATCCATCTGATGCCTAGCTTTGCTCAATTGCATAAGACTCTTATGAAAAAGCTAAAAACTCATTCAGCCAACCTTAATCCCATCAGAGCATTATCTACTGCAAAATTTATGTGGGTTCTGTATGATTTGCCAGATTGTGGTGGGAAGCTTCTTGTCAAACAGTTATAAAGCACATAAAAAAAAGCACCATTATGAACCCAGAATCCCTCCCGTTTCACCAGGTGCTCCAGATATGGTGACAGCAGTAAGACCAATCTCACAAGCAGCACCTGGTGGCAACATCTGTCTGACTCCAACATCTCAATTAGCAGTGCAAAGCCATGGAGCAGCAGATAACAGCACAAATGATAAAGAGAACGCAAAAGTCTTATCTACCAATGGCTCTGGTTGGAATGGCACGGAGCCCACCTCAGCTCACAGACCATCTCCCGACATTAATGTGTCTGCGCCTCTTGAATAGCACTGAAGGTATGGTTATCTGTGTTTTCATTTTATCCAATTTATTTGTCCTTCTAGTTTTTCTTTTAGATGTAATGCTTGTAATTTGAAAATTAATTTTAGGCCTATTTTAGAGAGAGACTGTCATGATTACTTAAGGAGGCTGATTTAACTTCCATTAATGTTGTAACAATTTGTACTATTTCTCCTAGAGATTGTTTAGAAACAAGTTCATTCATCAATGTCCTTTTATTGTTAATTTTTCCCCCCCTAGGATTTTAATGTACATGTGAGCAAAACAATGGTCACAACTGATGATTTAACTGTTGCCATGTTTTTGGTAAGATGACAACACTGTTATTGATCGAGTGTTTTGAGAAGGAAGTTTCCTTATCTAAATGCTCATGTGATGCTTGAAATGGCCATGACTCTTGAATTGGTATGAACTAAGCTTGCATATTAGGGTAGTAGTCCTTTAATCGAAAAGAACCACCCAAAGTTTAGAAAATTATTATTGCATGCTTCTGCACGAGATGGTTCTAAAATACCTCGAGCCTTGGAAATTTTAGTTCTTTGCATGTTAAACTTGATTTTAATTGTGTGCATCTTCTAGTTTTACAAGTACATGGTATATGAATGTTTCAGTATGCATTTATCGTTTTTAGATGTCTAAACGTCGGTTAGTGAAAATAATGTTTGATACTTTTGGTTGGATAGATACATGCTTTCAAATCTGTTGAAACCAATAATCTAGTCTTATTTTTTAAGTCCTTTGATATAATCATTCTACTAACTAGTACAATATTTTTTGAATAAGATATTACGAGTTTATGAAATTTAGAACTATTTTCTAGGGGGAGGGAGAACTTGAACACAGACACATTGTGTTTAAATTGAAGACTGGTTACAATTATCACAAAAACAAAAGTGAAACATGAGTTTGTTCCCCAAAAATTAGCCAAAAGACCCTTCTGGATAATTTTCGAATGGCAACCTTACTACAGAGCACCCGATGGACCAACAAACCACCCCAAGCCAAGAACAAGTTTCAGAACCGAATTACATATATATCATCAGTTCAAGTTTAGGACATTTAACAAAATGGTACAGTGAAATTAAGTAGAGCTTTGAATGATATATAAATATATCAGTTCTTTAATTTAATCAACTTGCGAGCACATGAACACAGCATACATATTCATATTCAAACTATAGATAAATATTCAGGTGTTACGCGTTCATATATATATATATATATATGTTATGTATGTATCTTTTTCAGCATTTAGGTTCCTTCGTTTTGACAGTGGGGGATGATCTTGGAATAGTATTCCCAATCAGAATGTGAGGAGGTTATTGCTGGTTGTCCAAATCGGTGTTCTTTCACATAGGAAGAAACATCATCTACGTCAGCCAAACCCTTCAAAAACAGTTGCAGCTCTCCCTCCGGACCTAAAGAAAAGAAGAAATATATAAAGATATATACATATCAAACCTAAAACATTTACTTTCAAAACACTAGAATGCCTAACAAAAGCTTTGATAGAGAATGCCTAACAAAAGCTTTGATAGAAAAACTTGAATGTTTCCTCTTAACCTAAAAGAGTGTCATTGCCATTGTCACCCTTGTACTTGTGAGTAAAGATTGCTATGTTAGGCTGCAAAACAATGCAATAATTATTAATAATAATAGAAATGGTTGACATCCTTTATTAGGATTTAAAATCATGTCATAATCATGGTTTGCCGTATCGATCCGTCGACCAGTTTACATTGACTTTGTCCTTACACTACGATCGTGATCGATACTGCGAACAAACCATGGTCATAATAAAATAAGACAATATTACAGGATTGAGCAAGGCTGTGCGGGGCTCATCATCTATTAACAATGTATTTGATGAAGAAAATTGTCCGCCGCGCATCGGCAGAGTAGCAGAAACATTCTTCTTATACCATATTTTATTCAGTTCCTTCAAGAATATTGGTTTATGTTTGTTCTCCAAGCTCTTGAACCCAGAATCAGTACATTCTTCTTGGCTCTGTGGAGCAGTAGCCATTAATTAGTAGGATCATTTATACGTTTCTTCCCAAAAAAAAAAAAGGAAGGTCACACATACCCACACAAATAGCAATTTGCTTCTTAAGCCTTTCATGATAAGGTTCAAAACAAGCTCTATATTAGATCTGTTGATTACATACGTACATATATATATATATATATATATATATATAGGAACAGTGTATATAAGAAGACAAAGTCAGTAAGAATTACTAGAAAAGCAAATTAACTCTACAACATATATGATATATAGAATGTTTAGTAATGCTGACTCCCGCGCAGAAGACCATATTCCCACTTCAAATCTTTCAAAGCAGAACTCCAGAAACTCTTCACAGAAAGGCCTCCTGAAAACTGTGTTTTTATAAATGTATATATATAAGAAAGAGAGATGGTGAAAATCAAAGATGTGTGGCAACAATGAATTGATGATACAAATTTTCCGAGAAAGTTTGAGAATTTTTCACCGAAAAAGTTTCCGAGAATCCCATCTGGGAGACTATGTTTTGGAATACTAGCTTTGCTTCTAAGGTGCACCCGATGCAAGAGCAAGCCACCCAAGCAAAGAACAACAAGTTTCTTTCTTGGACCAAGGTTTAGTTTCTCTAATGAAAGTCCTAAATCATTTCCACTATCTTCGTTATCATCATCGTCGTCACTGTCATAAGCAGCTACATTCTTTTTCTTTTTTTTGGAAAGGTAAGCAGCTACATTCTTGAGCTTCAAGAATGGAGCTTTGAAGCTAGCCATGAATGGTGACGACTCAGAATTGGATTGCATGTATATGCCACAAAAATGTATATATACAGTTTGGAAATAAAATGAAAACCTTTTAACTTCTGTGACTAATTAATTACAGTAAATGATGAACGGTCATGCTACTTTGTGTGATGCTTCGGTTGATGAGCTAGCTCGGTACTTTGAGACCGTCAAGTTGCTTAAAGCTCTGATAGTGGTGATCTATCGCAAACAAATTTGCTTTGAAAAAGATGAATAGTTATTAAATTTAAAATTTAATTATAGAGAAGTGACTATTCGTATTTATTCTCTAAACTACCCTTTATATATATATCAAACACTTCCACGTTCATCTCTCAACACTTCTTGAATATATAACTTTTTTATTTATTTTTAGATAGAGTAAACTGTACATTGGGCTTCAGCTTGGGCTAAAGATTACAAGCCCAAAGGTTAAAAAGAAGTATACATAAACACAGATCAAGGCCTAAAAGCCCAAAAGCAAACTTTTCAGGTCAGAAATTGGAATATAAGCCTCGAAACCCATTTAGGCCGAAATCAAAAATCTTCTCTTTGGGACTAATATTCTATTTTTGCAATGGAAGGCCATAATCACTACTACTTTCCCCATCTTCCCCAGATTTAAAGACTTTTTGCATGAGCCTGCCTCAATCAAAATGCCAATAAAATTACTCAAAAGATCTGTACTTTTAAGTAATACTATCAAGAGAATTTTCTTGTGACAAGAATCACGAGCTTTTCAATTTGCACAATAATTACTAAATTGAAAGTTATATTAAATAATTAATGTTATGTTTGGTAGTACGGAATCGGTACTTTGAATTTGGGATTAGAAGAAATTTAGTTAAAATTTCGTACTAAATTTTTTCCATACGCTAATTGTATGTGGTCAAAAATAGCATAATTTGAATTTTTACTAACTTTAAAAAAAACTGTGGGAGCTCATAGCATTATGCTACACTTTTGTAAAGCAGGCATTCAGAAAATATGGGGCAAACGTGGATATGATATAGATTTTGAAGAAGACCTAACCCAAGATCTAATGGAACTAACCCATGGGCCAACTAACCAACCCACCTCAGCAAAGTCAAGCAAACGTTCCTTTTTTTTTTTTCGGATCCCTTTTATGTTTCTTTTTCTTACACGTTCAAGAAACGAACACTTGTCAACATGATGGGTGAACAAATGACCAAATTTTCTGCCACCACCTCGCACCCATGCATCGTTCAAGCGCCACTTCATAGCATCGATCTAAACCATACTCTCTCTATCTCTCTATAAAGATATATACACAGAGTCACACACTCACTGTAAGCGGTGTATAAGAGAAGAGAGATACAGTTGATGGTAGAGTGAGAAATGAATAACATAGACGATAAGGAAGAGTCGACGGTGACAATCCGAGCAGTGAGCCATGACGAAGAAGGACGAAAGCAAGTGGAGAAGACCGAAGTGAACATCCACAAAATCGACACACTCAAGTACATAGAGAAGAAGCTCGCCGACAACGGCCTCGTGCGCATGGAACGCCACTCGGCCGACGGCATTCCGTTGGCACGTGGGCCGCCCAAGTCCGGCCATGGCGGGAAGTACACGTGGGAGGGGCCGATGGACGAGGCGGAGGCCGAGCTGAAGCTTGCACCGCCGGCAATCGACGAGAAGGATCCAAACTATGTTGATGAAGAAGCGGAGGAGAGGTTGGTAGAGGGAGGGTTGGTGATGGGAGAAGTGGAGGTTGCTAAGGATGGTGTGGGTGTGGCCAGGGTTGAGCTTGATCCTCGACTTCAAGGGTACATAAACTAAATAGTCTGAAGAAAAGTGTTTTTGTTTTTTCAAAAATGTTTGGATGCTTTGTTTTAACTTCGTAAATCAAATAATACAACCTAGTTTTGTGGGTGAGGAGAAATTTGTAGATAGTCACGGGACACCGACGGAAAAATCGTCGTTTAGTGGTAAACTGATTATTAAATAATTTTAGTAAATGGAATACATTTAACAAATTGGGGATGTAGCTCAGATGGTAGAGCGCTCGCTTAGCATGCGAGAGGTACGGGGATCGATACCCCGCTTCTCCAATTTTTTTAGTTCCTATTGCTCTGCATTTTGCCTGTAGGAGTAAGATGTTTAGGCCCAAAAATATCCACCCTAGTTTCGCTTCACGTTTGTTGGAAATTTGGGCCATATGAGTTCCAGGCCTCATAAATTGGCTTAAAATCTTTTTAGAGAAAAGACAAAAATTTGTCCAATTCTTGAGCATTTTAGACACAAGCTATTAAAATTGCACAAATTATACTGATTGGTTTTTGTAACATTACTCTAATTTTAGCCATATAAGGTGGCTTGTGAAGGTGGTTGTATGGTTCACAATATATATATTTATTTATTGTGTGAGTGCATGATTGGATCATTTTACATATATACTCCTCTTAATTTAATTTTATTTTTTTAAGCTGAGAAAATTATTACATTAGATACCTTTAATGTGTTTGTTATGCATATCAAACAGTACTAAACTCATCAGTTATATAAGTAGATGCCTTTTATATTTTTCTTAATAAATATTCTAATTTATATCTTTAAGGCATTGTGTTTATATGGGACTGTCAGAGTTTTTATGATTAGTTAGATGATTTAAGGATGTCCAGTCTAACAGATGAATTAGGAAAAGACGAGTGAAGAGTCGTTGATGGAGATGTAATACTCAACCGACAATACCAACGCAAAGGAACAATAAAACAGAGCATTGGCAATATAAAACGTGATTAATTGGTACAATAATTTTGTTGAATTTTATATAATGAACAGTTGATATCATTAATAATCTAACTGCATTTTTGCACATTAATTATACAGATCTAAGTTGTCTAAAGTTCATGTTTTAAAAATCCTGCATTTTGGGACTAATAGAACATTGAATGATATAAATGTTTTTGAAACTTTTGTTGATACTCATCCTACAACAAATCTTTTGATAAGGACCATCGTCAACCACACAGTCACTCAATTGTCCCAAAAGGCATCGCCTTTCCATAACCAGGTTGGCAGGTTGTCACAACTCACTTTGGACCTCAGAAACCAGAGATGATATTTGTTGATGATATTTATCCAATTATGCAATTAAACGGGACTTTGAAAGGCGAAGAAGTATTATTAAATTACAGTCCGACTACAGTCCATTGGTGGTACACACGTATGACGTAATTCAATGGATCAACATCATTATTCTTTAGAGAATTATGAATACTTGGGTGAGAAACAAAGGTAGTTGGGTGTAACCTCAGATGGTGAGACACACTTGTTTAACATCGTCATTAAAGAAGCAGTATTAGATGTTTCAGTTTTGACATCTGAAATAGAAATTTAATTTCTTTTATGTTTCAAATTTTGAATAATACATACACATACTTCCAAAGGTGCTCAAACCTCAAAATCAAGACAATGATATATGCATTTACATGGTTGGATATGATGTATTACCATAAATTTCAAAGAGAATACTCATCATTATCAAAACTTTCAATAATTAGGTCAATTAATTGAAGTACTAAGTAAAAGTTAGGTCTAAATTCTCTAGCATATACTTCCAAGCACCTACTTCTTCTTCTTTTTCTTTTTTTTTTTTTTTAAAAAATTTATTTTTATTTAATTTAATTTTTTTTTTAAAAAAAATTATTTTTATTTAATTTAATTTTAAATTTTTTTTTTTGGCGGCACCGACAGATAACCTAACCATATAATTGAAAAACAATGGAGTCTTTGGAATGAGTGGATGACAACACAGGACTTCAGAAAGGACGATTGGACTGAAATATGACTTTGCATGCAATCATAAATAAATATGCACTTTCTTTAATCAGGCATAAAGAAAGTTCAACATTTTTCAGGTGGCCAAAGCTTTTCTTTCCCATCTTTTTTTTTTTTTTTTTTGGTGGGAAATATGGCTTGTTGATCCCATATGTTCTTATTTTGTGTGGTTCAAGTGAAGTATGGAGATGGCCAAACCAAATAATAATTGTCATTTAGTACACGTACATTGCTTATCCTCACAGCTTGCATTCCACTCACTCGCTATTCCAGTCGTTGCTAATAAGTAGTTTCAATGGACCAACCAACAATAGCTAAAGACATGAAAATTACACCTTGATTACCTTTGTATTAATTTAAGTCAATGTATTTGGCATCTTCAATGTCTCTGTTGACCCTTTTTTGACTCAGAATTGTGTCGTATGAACACTTGTTTATATATATACACATGATTTATTTTGTTATATACACGAACCCCTTATTTAGAGAACATTTTGCACGTATTGTGCATCAAAATAGTATCATTTCGATCATCAACGAGAAAAGCTAATTAAAGACATTTTCTTCAAAGCTATAAATAAAAGTTTTTTTAAAAAATTAATTGGTGTAGTGGAGTAGTATAAAGCAAAGGAAAATTAGCAATTAATTATTAAAGGTGAAATTAAAGCGTGAGTATATATAATTGTGTCTTTGTTTTGAAAATAGAAAGAATAACTACCAAGGGATAGAATTATGGGATGCTGTAACCTAACTTACAATCATTGTCGTGAAAAGGTAAATAATTATTAATTGGTTTAGCCCAAAAAACACTGCAATAGAAAGTTTTGCATACTCAAAGTTTTTACCTAGTAGTTTGTAAATTTAATTAGGACAATCCAGCTCTCAGTTTGTAGTAGATATGATTAGTATGTCATCTTCTCCTGTGCCAAATAGCTTGAAATTACTAAGAAAAGTAACGAGGAAGTTGTTGGGAAGAATCCAATGGCTAGGTCCATAATTTTAATCCAAAGTGAGAAGAGTATAATCCATTTTCTATGGATTTGCAGGCCACATGCATCTAAATTAATAATAACCTTCCCCCAAAAATAGGTATATGCATTGGTAATTTGGTATATATACATTATATATGTTATTTGATTAGATGCTCCAAAAAGATTTGAGAGAACAATCGGTAAAACATCTTTGTACAAGTGTGGAGGTAAAGTTTAGACTTTCATCTACCAACGTAATATTTTATGAGTTACTAGACCGAAGTGACTTGCCACTCCGGCCCACTCTTGAAATTTACTTTGTAATCCAATCTGATATCAATATATTAGATTTCAACCATACAAATTTTATTTTATTTTATTATTATTATTATTATTATTATTATTTTATTTTATGGAGTTTGGAAGTACCTCTGAGACATATATCTTTTTTATTTTATTTTTTTATTTTAAAGAAGTTTGATGTGAAAAGTTCATTAATGGCATGTAGAGTTGGGACCAACATATTTACAAGCATCAGCTAATTCCTACCAATTTGAAGGTTTGGCAGACATTTATCAGTTTCAGCTACTCCTTACTAGTCTAAAGGTTTGGATGATTTCAAGAGAACAAATTAAAATCAATGGCTATTAAAATTAATACATTTGGGCACTATATTGGCCGGAGACAGAAATAAAAATTTCAAACTATTATATGGTTACATTACCATATAATAGTTTGACACTATTGTGAGTTATTTATTTATTTATTTTAAAAAAAAAAAAAAAAATTAAGTGGTGCTAAAATGAGAATGGAGACTTTATCAGTCCTCAAATATATCAAGTGTCTGACTCGTGAACCCTACCTTAATGTATTTAAGCTTTTATTCTGTTCATGGTTTAGGTAAACAAAGCATTTTCGTTTTAACTAACAGTGAAAGATAGGTGAAGAAGAGATTAAGGTCAACCTTAGGAGTTAAGTATGAAAATTGGTATTAGATGGAGGGTTAATAGGTATGGTGTCTAGTTCAACACAGGAGCATCATGACTAAGTATTAAAGGGAATAAAAAAAGCTTCACCAGTACCCCCATTGAACTCTGCATCTTTCTTGGTAAGATTTAGGAGACAAGGTGGATGGAATATCATTTTTTTGTTTGCTATGGACCTTTGAGCCCACCAACCACTTTTGCCCTAAATATATCTGTCAAAATATTGGACACAAGATTCAATTTTATTTTTAGACACAGAACACAGGTCCCTATAGACACACACCACATACGTACTCTTCGTAACAAAACAAATATAATGAATATTGGATCCATGTTCTTTTTTCCAAACCTACAATATATTGTAATCATAAAAATAAACTACACTCATTTTTTTTTCCTTGAAAAACTTTTAAAATAATAATTATAGTTGAATCCCCTTAGGACCACCTCCAAATTTGTTTTGGGACAATTATGCATGTGGGGTGAGGGGACTCAGGCACAGACCCGTGAAGGGCCTATGGCAGCCGCCCCCATTGATTTTTGTTTTTTTTTTTTTTTTTTTTTTTTTTTTTTTTTTTTTAATTTACAAAATTACCTATATATAAATTTTGTGAAAATTTTAAAATTATTTTTATTTTTTTGTAAAAATTTTAAATATTCCCTCACTCAATTTATAATGATACTCATCGTATATTGATATTGTTTAAAACCATCAATTCTCATACAAATTTTTGGTCTGTCATTAAAGAGAGTACATATGTCTAGTAATAAATTATTGATTACTTTAAAAGTCCTGACTTGACACTATTACCAAAATAATAATAATAATAATACAATAGATGATAGATGTCGTTATAAATACAGGGGCTTATGAGATCAACAATAAAAGCACTTAAAAAAAAAATTGTTGAAGTGTGCACAATCAATCTCCGTAGCAACTTAGATTTGATTGATACTATAAGCATTCATTTAATGGCTTTTGGAGTTGCTCATAACCGGTGAGCAGTCCATTTATCCAGCTGTAGGGACTGCAGACTGACCACAGACAGCAAGTGCCACAAATATTAATGCCCCATAAGAACTGAACATTAAAACATAATAAGTCTAAAGAATTTATATATTTTGTTCTAAGAATGTTATACATATATATATATACATATATATATATGTATGTGTGTGGTACCAGTGCTTTATCCCTTGTGCTTTTTCATCTTGTCCACTAAATACATGAATAAATTTTTTTTTTACAAAATAGCCCCTTAGGATTGCTCAACGCTTAAACGGAGCATCAGAAATGTTGGCCCTCTACATTTAGTTACATGGAGAGCCACGTCTCATAACACATGTATCATTCAAGTCAAGAGTACAATTTAAAAGTGAAATTTAAAGAACTTACCTTTTAAATCCCGCTATGCTCTTGGGTGCATACTTCAACATATACAAATACTTAGAAACGTGTAAAGACAATCTTCATCGTCATGGTCACGCAGTATCTCATTCTTACAAGAAAAAAGAAAAACAAAAACAGACAGATATACTATTGTGGGAATATATTTCATTCTCCCCTTGGCACAAAAAAATATATATAATTCATTCTCACATCCAACTAAGAATCTAAACAAGATCAAGTTTATTGTCCTTATTATGTCTTTCCAACTGCTTCATATTATTTTGAGTTAATTGCATAAAATATTCCTAACTTATAAGAAATTTGCATATTAGTCCTCAAATTCTATTTAGATATTAGATAACCACCTGAACTACCAAAATAATTTGCAATACACCCCGCCCATCAAATTAATGTTAGTAATGGCGGTCAAAACTCTGAGATTTATTTAAGATCCCAAATTAAGCTTTTAGATTCGTTGCTTAAAAAGCCCTTAAAATTTCATATCTCCCTTAATTGGACAAATTTTTAACATAATGGTACTGTGCAATTAACACAATTCAGTAATTTTAATTAAGACACACCTAACAATTCAGTAGTTTTTAAGACACATTTAAAAGCCAGCTTTCTATAATTAATTTGTTACTTTATTTTAAAACTTTCAAGGATTCACGAAGTTAATTTTATTTTAGGGACAATGAGCAAATTCTTTTAGTTCATAGAAGTTTGTGCAATTAATCCTTTATTTGCCGACACTAGAATCAAGGCCATTTTTATATTTTCAATTTTTTTTTTTTTACCCCACATCCTTATATTTTCATTTCAAGCGCCCACAATCTGTAGCTTTTTTTTTTTTTTTTTTTTTTCACCAATCTGTGGTTTTGTTGTGGAATATATCTTCCTGCAGTTACAACTTACGAGTATGAATATATATACATATATGGGGTAACACGTACAACATCTATATTATAGGGTGTTTTTTGCATTTTATCTATATATAGTAATAAATAGGAGTATTATTTTAGACTTTTAACCTAGTGCACGATTAACGAGTAAAGACATTGGAGTAAATAGGAGGCAAGCTTTATTAAATGAGCTGTGAAAGTTAGAGCAGTTTCTTCTCCTCTACTAATATTTCACTCAACTAACCTCCAACATTTGTACCCTTTTTGCAGCCCCACGTAAGCGACCTTTACAAATAAAAAAACCTGAGTGAGGTAATTTTGTAATGAGTAACCGGGCCTCTCTTCGGAAGACTCTTCAATTTATTTATTTATTTATTATTTTTGTTTCTTTGATGACATGAAAACCCTCCCAACTATTATTTTTTAAACTTATAGTTACAAGATAAATTTCGGTTATTCATTTCGATTTTACAATGCAAGCAACATTAATAAAAGAGGTAAAAAGACTCGAACACTGACTGATGTAAATTAATGCCCTCACCTTACTAACTCATCCAAGCCCTCGGGGGGTTAAGACTCTTCAATTTTAATTATTGGATAAAATAATTTTTTTTTGAGACAAATCAATTATTTAATACATTGAAGTTAAAAAAATATATCAGTTAATGATTCTTTTCTTGAAAGAGACTTCTTAGAAGTATTACTCATTTTGTAATTACACCAAAAGCCATTACATCATAGATTGTGAAAGCACACGACGTATGTTGGAGGAGGCTCTGTTTGTTTCACCGTAAAATATTTTACATTAAAAATATATAATGTATTAAGGCTCCATTTGTTTCACCGTACAATATTTTTTGAAAATCATTTTCCTCTTCGGTGTTTGGGAGACTCCATGGTTAGAAAATTATTTTTCATGTAAATCATTTTACTCGAATGAAATTGATTTACTAAATTTTTTTTCGTAAGTCATTTTCCACAAATTACCTTAGGTCAACCATCAACCATCCGTATTCTTATTGAACCCTTATGTCACTTTAACAATTAATCTTTTTCAGTTCTCATAATCAAATCTAATATTAAGTTTTCTCTCTCTATATGTATACATAGAGTGAGAGGAGAGAGAAAGAGAAATACAAATTTGGGTCAAGAGCCCTGTGATGGTTTAGAGAGAGAGTGGAGAGAGAAAAAGAGGGAGGAGGGGGGGGGGGGGGGGGGTAATTGAGTTATTATTCCCAGTTGATGAGGAACACTAAAGCAAGAGAGAGAGAGAGTTAATTGTGGGCATTATTCATTGTTGATGAGGAAAACTGAAGAAAGAAAGAGTTAATTGTGAATAAAAGTTGATCTAGAAAATATTTTACAGATTGTTGCCAAACACCTAAATTTTTTTACGAAAAGTGAATATTTTACATTAAAATATTTTGTTTAGAAAATATTTTACAATTACATCCAAACAAACATAACCTAAATGAGTGTTAAGGATTTAGAATTCAGAGGTGAACAATAATTTTGAGATGGATGGAGTAGTGTTTTTTTATTATCATTATTTTAAATAATGCTAATATTTCGTATTACACCTTAAAATTTGGGATGTAATATTCAAGCTTTATTTTTTTTAAGTCTTGCTTCCACCACAATTCTTTTTTAATAATTAAAATGAAACAATAAACCCTGCAAAGCAGAGTAAGTTTACCTTTGGAGGGAAAAATGTGAAGCGTGAAATATGATCTTGTTATGAATAGTCAAACAATATGCGTGTGTACACGAACGCAGTGACTATTAGAGTTTATTATATATATAAACAAGATCATATTTCAAATAAATAAATATATATAAACTTTTCTTTATGAATATATATATATATATATATATATATATATATATATATATTTGACAAAGGTTAGGGGTGGTGAAAGAGGAAGGGAAATGATGCTCGTGTGCCCCAGATAATACACACCTGCAATAATAGTAATATAAGGTAATATAGACATGCTTATCTGCCATTAAAACATCCTTTCAAGTATTTAACGGTCCAAATTCACTTTATTTTGAATTAATTTTAAGTATGAACATAATTACCGTTGGGTCACAGTTGAGCACCAAGTCACCAACATGGTTGCAGGGTAGGATTACGTTCTAATTAATATGTTGCCTAAACATGTGTATATATATTTATGTGTACACACATATATAAATATGACATTTATACTAATTTATATAAACCGCACACTTGTCATTGCAACAGTAGAAGTTCTGCGCCTTTAGAAGAGAGTGATGGTTAAGAAAGAGAACAAAAATGGAAGACCCAACTCAGAAGCCAGAGTAGAGCTTATATAAACAGACTCTCTCTCTCTACTTGCTCATCCTCTACATTTCTTCTCTTCTGTTTCTTTCTCTTCCTCTGCTCCGACATTTTTTCAAGCGCTTGTGTGTGTGTCACACACAATTTCGAATTGCATTTCAAAACATTTTTGGGTAGAAGAAGAGAAAACACAGCATTTAAGAAGCCTTTTGTGAAATGCTATTTTAATTCTTGGGGTTATATGTACTATACTCTGTTTTTCAATTTTATCGGTTTAACAGATTAACGTTTGAAAAGGGTGTTTTGAACCATCTTGTGGGTCTCTGTAATTTAGTAGAGGTTTGAGCCAGTGACTGACATTCCAACTCTACCACCATTGTTTTGCGTAACCCAGAAGCAAAATCTCAAGAAAAAGTTAAATATTGTTGCTCTTTAACCAAAAAGCGACCTATATATACATACAGATCTATAGATTTTTTAGTATAGAAACTCTTGTTTCATTGCCTCTCCTCTGTTTTACTCTGTTTTTCAACTACAAAGTTCACATAAATGGAGAAACTTTCGTCGGTGAAGCTTCTACCGGATTCGTTTATGGGTTCTCGAGACGACATTACAGATCAGATTATGTTGATTTGGGGTCAGATCAAAGCGCCATTGATAGTCCCTCTTCTTCGGCTCACCGTCATGTTGTGCTTAATAATGTCTGTGATGTTGTTCATTGAGAGGGTGTATATGAGCATTGTGATCATTCTTGTGAAGCTGTTTGGTAGAAAACCAGAGAATCGTTACAAATGGGAGCCCATAAAAGACGACATTGAATTGGGCAATTCAGCTTACCCTATGGTTCTCGTTCAAATCCCAATGTACAATGAAAAAGAGGTCCTCTTTCTCTCTCTCTGTTCAATCCAACATTGTCTTTTCAATAAACTTTACTCTGTTTTATTAGTTCCATTTTTGTGTTTACATATTCATTTTGGTCATATATATGTATATGTGCAGGTGTATCAGCTCTCAATTGGTGCTGCATGTGGCCTTTCCTGGCCCTCTGATCGAATCATAATCCAAGTCCTTGACGATTCAACAGACCCCATAATTAAGGTAACCCCATATGATCAAAACCCTTTAATTCCAGCAAAGTCCATTAGCTATAACACCCAAAGACCACATCCTTCTCATTGAAAACCTCAACAATGTCCAAAATTTTAATCCAAACACACCCTAGGTACAATCTTTTAAATCCATTAATTATATCATTTATGTATGATTATTGTTCATGTGGGTTGTGTTGCTTTGCTAAGATATGATGGTATTGGACCGTCATCAATAATACAGCGTGACAAAGTTGGCCAACTTTGGCTGGGTTAATGTGAGTGGAAGTATGGGTTCGAAAGTCGGACAATTCCATTGAAGTGGCGTGAATTGGGGGCATCGTCCAAGTTGTCACGCTCTTCACTTTGTGTCAATTTTTAGAATTGTCGGACTTTCAGACAGTTAAATGATATTCTATTAGTGCATACTGTATATTTTATTTATACATGTACGTGCGTGTGATAATTGTTTTTCATAAAGATCCACAAACACAACAATTTCCGGTCTTTAAAAACCAATTATAAAATGCGTACAATGTTTATATACGTGTGCATATAATATATATATATATATACACACACGCACACATTATTATTGTTGACTTGGGTTGTGTTGTTTTGGTAGGATATGGTGGAATTGGAGTGCCAGAGATGGGCAAGCAAAGGGATTAACATAAAGTATGAAATTAGAGACAACCGAAATGGGTACAAAGCAGGGGCTTTGAAGGAGGGCATGAAACGTGAGTACGTGAAACAGTGCGACTATGTGGCTATTTTCGACGCAGATTTTCAACCCGAACCCGACTTCCTCTGGCGGACCATCCCTTTTCTTGTCCACAACCCTGAAATCGGACTCGTTCAAGCTCGTTGGAAGTTCGGTAATTAATTAATTCGTCTTCATCAATCGCTCACCAAACAGCACTGTTTTTTTTTATGCTCATCACTCTCTTAATTGTTTACCAGCTTTATTATCTCTACTAGTAACAATCTTCTAAACTGTCGGTGTGTCTATATATATATATATATATATAGATACATATATCAATAATTTATGCATACTGACATTTTAGGCAGGCCACATCGATTTTTACACGTTTGGGTATTATATTGGTACAAATAGTGGGGCCTGCTATTTAAAATACCACCATGGTATAGTGGTATTTCCAGCTGCGATTTTCCTATTCATCTACCTCAAAATAAATGACAATTTTGCGTATGTCAAACATATTATAAATGAGAACTTTGTAGTATATATTCAAGTGCATAAATACTAAGGAATTAGTTTGGGTCTTTATTTTAGTATGGTGGCTGAGTTTACTTGGACTTTATTAAATTTTTGGGGTGGGCTAATACTATTAATTTTTTTTTTTTTTTGGACTGGGCTAATATATTAGTATAGTAAATTTTTTTTTTTTTTTTTGGGTGGACTACAGGCCACCTTTGCCTGTGTCCGCTCCTGTTTATATTGTTAATTTTGAAAAGTTTAAACAAGTGTTAATAGTGTTGATAGACAGTTCTAATCAAAATGTTCCATATTAATTTTTTGAAAAACAACTAATTAACATATTGATAGTAGATGAAGAGGTTTAATATCCGATCAAGTGTCAAGTGACCGGTGTCAATTTACCATTAGTTTGTGTATTGAGAGAAATTATATGTTTTAGTTGACTGTTGTAGCCGTCATTACATTATTATGTTAAAATTATTGTAATGAATAATTTTTTCTAATTTTAAACCTTCTCAATATTTGAAAGAATTTTAGTTCCACTCCTCTTTCCATCTTTAACTATTGGAGGGAGTGAAAAAAAAAAGTGTCCATTTCTTGATGGACACTTCGTTTCTGGGGTGTTGAGTGTATCACATAAATGAGCCTCCAAAGTGCTTTTTTGTGTGAAGCTGTCATGTCCCCTTTGAATTGCCAAAGTTGGGAAGTGCTAGATTGTGGGGGCAGATCTGTGAATGAAATCTCTCACTTGTCATTATCAATGGAAGGGCATGTTTGGGAGTTTGCATAATTATACAAGGGTATTTCCGTCTTGGTCAAACCGCTTCCGGTTCCAAAACCAACAGCTGCATGTGCAATATCCATGGTGGACCGCACTCTTAACTCTACTAACCGACATTTATATTTATATTCTCTGAATTTTACGTTATTACACAATTACTAGCTGGTTCTGGTTTCTGGTTTTATTTGTTGTCCCGAAATTTAAGTGAACTCCGGAAGATTTCATGGGCTCGTTTGCTTTATTTTTTTAAGAATAATTTTTATTTTTTTCTACTTAAAAATTTAAAAAATCTATAAAAATCTACTTAGTTAATAATTTGAGAGAACTATTTTTAAAAAATTAGAGAACTATTTTTAAAAAATTAAGTTAAAGAAAAGTAAAATATTCTGAGTTTTTAATTTATCCAATTTTAAAACTTGAAATGTATTGTTTTAGTGTTTTATCAATAAAAAAAGTGAAACTATATATTAAATGTGCTCTTCAAAAGTTAGAATCTCTAGAAGTAAAAAAAAAAAAACAAAAATAAAAAATATTTAGAACGAGAAGTGTCATATGATAAATGTGTGGCCGGTGGGGACAAAGATAATGATGTGGCATGTTATTATTGCAGTGAACGCGGATGAATGTTTGATGACAAGAATGCAAGAGATGTCATTGGATTACCATTTCACGGTGGAGCAAGAAGTGGGCTCCTCAACTTACGCCTTCTTTGGCTTTAATGGTATATATAATTATTTTCCAGTTTTAGTAACCATCAGTGATAATCATAGAGATTTAAAATGAGCTACGACTATGAATTCTTGTAATAATGACATTTAAAATACGTGAAAAAAGGCAAGTTAACCTACCATGTTGGTTAGTATATCATTTTCAATAGTAATGGTCAATGTGTTGCTCTCTCACTTGAGGATGGATTGGATTGTTTATCCCAAAAATTTAACATATTATTCGTGAAAGTGAAAGCGTGACATAAAAGAAAGTATACGGTATTTTTAGAGTTTGAAATGTGTGTGTCTAGGTTGTGATTTTGTGTCGAGAAAGTGTGTGCTTTACTGCTTTAATTTAAAACAAAAGTGTTTTATGTTTTTGGAACACTTCAGGGACTGCTGGTGTTTGGAGAATTGGTGCACTTAATGAGGCTGGAGGATGGAAGGACAGGACAACGGTTGAAGATATGGATTTGGCAGTAAGAGCTAGTCTCAAAGGCTGGAAATTCTTATACCTTGGTTCTCTCAAGGTATATATATAACTTCTTTTGTATCCCATTCATCGTACGTGTTTATTGTAGAATTAAGTAGAGCATTTCTTAGAGCCACTACATTCTTATTGCATCAGTACTTGTCTTGGAAGCAACAAGAAAAGTGTGATTTGTCTTCCCTATTACTACTAGTTATGCTCGTTCTTCTTCCTTTTGCTTTATGATCCGCAATAATTTGACATTTTTACTGTCAATAGTGCTTCACATTCGTCAGAAAAGTCGGTTCAAAATTGCATATGCACAAGCCCTCCAAAAGAAAAGAAATAGGGGGTCAAAACATGTTCATTTATAGGAGAATTACCTCATTTGAAGCAAGTGATCGAAATTATGAACATCTATGAGTGTGTGTTGCCTACTTGCCTTGTATTAGACATTGTTTTATCAATGATTGCATTATTTTAATAATAGTAATAGTACATTTGGAAAACAAAATGTGTGTACATTTGGTAGATAGACAATAATCTTGTACTTTTTGCTTCTCTCTTTCCCGTAGGTGAAAAATGAGTTGCCAAGTACATTCAAAGCCTACCGCTACCAACAGCATCGTTGGTCTTGTGGTCCTGCCAATCTTTTCAGGAAAATGGTAATGGAGATAATAAGAAATAAGGTTAGTTGATGTCTCTCCATATATATATTCAATTTGCCCAAATGAACTAGTAGTGTCAAAAATTAGGCTCTAAATTAATTGTCTTCTATTTCATCATTCATTTTTACTGCAGAAAGTATCTCTGTGGAAGAAGGTGCATGTAATTTACAGCTTCTTCTTCGTTAGGAAGATCGTAGCTCATGTTGTCACATTTGTCTTTTACTGTGTCGTACTACCGACAACTGTATTGGTACCCGAGGTAGAAGTTCCAAAATTTGGAGCAGTTTATATCCCGTCCATCATTACTCTCCTCAATGCTGTTGGAACTCCAAGGTGTAGTTTCTTGCAAGTTCTGTTCTTTCGTTCGATTTTATTCATGCAACTTCATTTCTTATACTTCAAACACAAATTTTGTATACTTGTTGAATAATTACAAGAATAATCTTCTTTTCACGAATCGAAGTATGTGTTTGAAAGAAATGTCAAGGAAGAATGGATTAATTCCTAGTCTTTGCCTCAAAACAGTTTTTTGCAGCATTTATTCCTAAAACAAATAGCTATCCAAAGGTATACTTTCACAGCAGAGTCTAATTTGATTTTTGTTACTTTGATCCTGCAGGTCATTCCACTTAATGGTTTTCTGGATCCTTTTTGAGAACGTGATGTCACTGCACCGGACTAAGGCTACCTTCATCGGTATACTGGAGGCAGGGAGAGTGAACGAATGGGTTGTCACCGAGAAACTTGGAGATGCTCTCAAAACAAAAGGAGCCAAGAAGGCGCCTAAGAGACCTCGATTCAGGATTGGAGAAAGGTGACAACTCTCAATGTCCTTTACTTTCTACACTGGACTGACTTTTGCAATTTATAATGATTGAATAATGAGTTTTTGATACTTAACTAAAGTATGTCATTGTTGTTTGAACATCAACAGACTTCATTTGTTAGAGCTCAGCACCGGGGCTTATCTCTTCTTCTGCGGCTGCTATGACATTGCCTTCGGAAAAAACTACTACTTCTTCTACCTCTTTATTCAAGCAATCGCCTTCTTCATTATGGGGTTTGGTTATGTTGGCACCTTTGTCCCCAGCTCTTAGTGCTGCTGTAGTTCTTGGCATTTGTCCCCTGTGCTACTGTCTCTCCTCATTAGCACTTTGTATAAGGGGTCTTGAGCAAATTTTTTTTTTTTTTCTTTTTCTTTTTTCAATATTACAAATTTATCTTGTAAAAAAGCAAAGATGGTTTGCTCTTTTAGGTTTAGCATAAGAATTCAAGTCACTGACTTGAAAGAATTTGTTGTCGTTGTGTATATGTATTATGAAATTGTTTCATACAGAGAAGACATGGAGAAACATGAACCAAGAGGCAAGGGCAGAGCATAAGTTTTGACCCAAGTGGATAGAATAAACATCTTTAAATGGATTGTTTGTAATTCTGAGTATTTGTAGCCAAAAAAAAGGACAAGAAAAGGGTTACAATTTTTTATTTTTTACCAAGAAGTTACAAGTTTAATCATGTCCAATTGTGAGGTGCAATCTTATTTCTTCTCATTTTGTATATTATCTTTTTTTTTCCCCTTTTTTGGGTGAGGTACCAAACTGATTGGTAATGGAATGTTAAGTAATTACACCAACTTACATCTCTCTGTGGATTATATATTATATTATGTTCAACTGTGAACTATTCAGAAAGTCATTAATGGAGTTCACCAACCATGAATAATACTGAAAGGGCTTTAATTAAATTAAGAAAATTGACCCCATTGCTCATATGCTTTTCATGAAGGACCAACCAAAGAAATTAATTATGAAGGGCAGCCAATTCAACACAATGCATAGAACAAGAAAATCAGCTGCCCATAAATTTCATATAGTCAACATCAAGCAGAACTAGTGACACAAAAAAAAAAAAAAAAAAAAAAAAAAAAAAAAAAAAAAAAAAAATGGAAAATGCTTTGGAAGCCCAATAAGTGTTGGGCTGAAAGCATCCCTACCATGCTTTCGGCCCAACATGCTATTTGTTTTGGAAGAACCATCAAATACGTAGTACTTTTTAAGGACCACTAAGTCCACTAACATTTTGATTCTTCCTTTTAAAATAAATTTTCACATAAGTTTTAAATATCTCAATTTTCTATTTTTATACCCTTCTAAAATTAGATCTATGTTTTTTTGCAATTACAATTTTTGTCCAAATTTTTTTTTTTTTTTTTACTGTTCAAACATGTTTAATATTTTCATAAAAATTGAATTTGTCTTTCAATGTATCAAGAATAATACTACTAGTTTAGAGAATAAAATTAAATTGAAAAATACATAACCAGAATAAGTAAAGGTAAGAATTTTTATTTATTAAATTTTCAATTCTTTTTGTAATAGAAAAAATATTTTCATAAAATTGAACCTCGCTTTTTTTTGGTTAGTTCATTACTCATTAGTTGATTCACATTTTAATCGCTAAACCTAATCACGCCATCCTACGGCTATACCCTTCCTCACTCTGCAAGCAAAACAATAGCGCTCTCTCTAAACGAACTTCATGGCCACGATCCAGTTCAACAAGGCGCATCAGATCTTCGGCAGCAGAGGCAATCCAACGGCCGAGGTTTGCCTCTGTTGTCGAAACTCAACTCGTTCGTTCACTTCCTCTATACTTCGTAGTTTTCATTTCGAAACTACTGTTATGTAGAGAGAGAGAGAGAGAGGGAAGGTTGTAGTAGGGGTGCAATTTACGGAGACTCCAAATACAAAATGCTAGCTAAGTGCTAAATTGAGAATTGTGTTAAGAAATTGGCAAAATGTACAAGTTGAATATATAGAAAACTAAAATATTATTAATATCTGTGTAAATATGCTATGCAATACATTTATACGTGCTAGTATAAAATTTTAAAAACAAAAGAGATTATAAAAAGAACTTTATTTGGCACTCCCCCAAATTAAGGACAAACAAAGAATATGATAACAACCGAGCGTTTTTCAATTACTTAGGTGCTATCATATTTTACTTGACTAATTTTACCCAAATTTAACTTTGGTCTACCTAATTCTGAATTAGTAATACTTGGTGATTAATTTTAATCTTGATGGCCTGTTTAAAAAAAGTGGATCTCATATATTACAAAGAAATGTGAAATAGCATTTTGGATGAAATGCTTGTTAGAACAAAATTGCTAAAATTTAGTATTTTGACACTATAACTCCTCTCAAAATATAAATTTGGTATGTAAAAATGGCATTTTTCATTGGAAATAGTCTTATATTTAAGAATACATTTGAGAATATCAAATTATGAGAGATCTTTTAAGAATTTATTAGAGTACCTTATTTTCATCCACCTGTAATATTTTAAGTTTAAAAACCCATTTGAGAGTAAGGTTTTTGTTGAAACAACGCTACCCATTGTTTGTGAGTGGTGGACCAAAGGGGTATTAATGTCAATGACAATAGGTACTTGAATTGTTTCTTGGGTGTGGGCCGTGTGGCTGCTGAACAGCCTGAACTAGACTGGGATTGGGATTGGGCCTTGTGGACAGTTGCTGGGAGTTATTATTTGGGAGAAGGGGTCATTGGGTTGGACGAGAGTTATGGGCTATCGGACTGGAATTGGGCTGGATCCAGGAATTCAAGTTTCTTGCCCAGAATCTCTGCTATCCAGTCTCCTTTCCAAGCTATGCAAATCCTGACCTTTTTTTTTTTTTTAAATAATATATCTTTCGAATTGGAAGAATGTAGTGAGCAAGAAGTATAGGCCCCATCACATAAATATTTTCAAATTTTCAGTGTAATTAATATTTGTGCCAGTCTAATTAATAATGCCAACAAGGACTCCTGTCATAATTAGATTTGGATGAGAATATAATCTCCTTCTTCAGCCAAGGGTTTATCTTAATGATTATTACATTGATTAGAGAGATTATTAAATAAGTCCTAAATTAGTAACACAGTGGATGTAAAATATTATTTTTTTGATGTTTGGTTGCTGTAAAATATTTATGAAGAAAAAATATATTAAAATTTTACAAAAATAATTTATCTATCAATTTTTGATAAATAATTTTATATGTCCCACTTAGAGGACTCGACCTCAATTACGACGTAAACCTTTGCCAAATATCGAAAAGTACAAATTAAAAAAATATTTTAAATAAAAAATAAAAATATTTTAACAAACGGAGCATAGGAATTAGGGGTGCACACGGTTCGATTCCTTACAGTTCCGGTCTGAACCGGAACCGAAACCATTCAAAACGGTTTTTAAAAAATGGAACCCGAACCGTATAGATTAGAACCGAACTGGAACTGAACCATAGAACCGGTTCGGTTCCATGAGAACCGTTAACCATGAGTTGAGAGACAGCGGCTGAAGCTTACGAACCCGAACTGGAACCGTGGGTGATGGAGAAACTGAAAGATATGGGTTTTGATTTTTTGAACAATTTGAAATGATATACCGATATGGGTTTTGAACTTTTGATTCTTGTAGACAGATCTAAAATATATGGGTTTGAACTTCTGATCCTTGTAGATTTTGTAGTTTACAGTTACAGAGAGAGAGGGCAAGTTTAGTATTTGCAGAGAGAGAGAGAGGGGCAAGCTTGAGAGTTGAGAGACAGCGGCTGAAGCTTGCAAACCTGAACTGGAACAGCAGGCGATGGAAGCTGAAAGATGTAGGTTTTGATTTTTTTAACAATCTGATGCCGATATGGGTTTTGAACTTTTGATTCTTGCACAGATCTGAAATAGAGGAGAGGGGGGGCAAGCACCAGGACATGAAAGTTTATTTACTAAAAAGAATAGTGAATTTTGTAGTTTACAGTTACAGAAAGAGAGATGGAGAGGGCAAGTTCAGAGTCGAGAGAATAGAGATGGAGGCGATTGGGGAGGCTGAGCCGCTGAAATGAAATGATTTGCACTATATATATATATATATATATATATATATTATGGTTCGGTTCTGGAACCGGAACTGTGAGACCGGAATTGGAACCGAACTGAAACTCAATGGTTCTTCATTTTAGGAATCGGAAATTCCGGTTCTCACGGTTTCATTGTTCTTTTGTGCACCCCTATTAGGGATTAATTTTAATTTTGATTGCATGTTTAAGAAAGTGGATCTCGCAATGCCTCGTATAAGTTGCATAAAAAATTATTCTCTAGCCTCCTAAAATGATGTTAATAATTGTCACGAATAACTAATCAATAGTTTGGGATGAGGTGGATTTTACAGCCGCAAAAAAAAGAAAAAGAAAATAGGTAAGGTAATATAATATTCATAAGATGGATAAAAAAGGTAATAGAGTCTTTTGGTTGACAAATTTTTTATATTAAATTATTATTAAATTAGATAAAAGTATAAAAGAAATTTCGCACTTTTAGATAATGTCAAAGTAATAAAGACTAAACACTCTTAATTTGCCCAAACCTAGGTTTAATTTACCCAAAATAAGTACTAAATCCCACTACCGTATATAACAGGTTGGTTTTCTAAAGCGAGGGTTTATCTTAATGATTATTAAATTAATTAAAGAAATTATTAAATAAGTCTAGTAACACAATTAACACTTAGTGATTCATTTTAATTTTGATTGCATGTTTAAGAAAAGTGGATGTCATATATTACAAAGAAATTTTTGATTTTTAATTTTGATTGCATGTTTAAGAAAAGTGGATGTCATATATTACAAAGAAATTTTTGATTATATTGAACCACGAGTAACATATATGATCTGATCTAAAATTATTTAATAATTTATTTATCAATAATGTCCAAAAAGGACTATGGTTACAGACGTACACACACTCACTCCAAATGTTATTAATTGTTACATTACATATGTGGTGTGTCCCGGTCTCCCTATAAATAATGCATTGCATGGACACATAAAATAACAACAAACATCAGAATTACGATCTCAAATATTTCAATGGCAATTAGCATGTACAAAGGCATAGGTGTTTAATTTCTTCCTCATAGCGCTGGTGACAGTCTTAGGGTTGCTGTTGCAGAGTGATGTCATTGATGCAAGAGAAATCGATTATGGTGCCATCGGGAGGAACACACGAAGGCCATGCAACAAAGCGACTAGATGTATACCACCTCCAACTGCACCACCAAAACAGTACGTAAGAGGCTGTGAGAAAATTGAAGATTGTCGAGATGGATCTCCACCCGATCCTCAACATAAATCCTAGCTCACTATAAATATTTCCCCGTCTCCACGGACAGTCTCTGTCTCTCTATGTGAGTGAGTGTGTGTACGTCTGTAACCACCCCCTCATAATTCAATAAAATTATATTAGCAACTTAATTAATTTGTTAGTGTAATTATATTTGTACCTTTGCTCTTGTATTAATTTCATATACACAGGGACGAAGCTAGAAAATTATTTCAAGGGCACAATGAATATGATCATTTTTTTTTCTTCAAACTAATTAAAAGTGCAGCAAAATAACAGTTAGAGAATTTTATAGGGACATTTTGTACAATTTTTTAAAAAAAATTACGTACACTTGAGTAAATATATATATATATATATATATATATATGAAAAAAA